CAGATGAGGGTCCAAGAAGGTAAAGACCTGCCCAGGGTCTGAGGTACAGAGGTGGCAGCCAGCCATCCTTGGACCTCAAAGGTCTTGCCTGGTACCCCTGATACCCGAGGGCCCAAATTCATTCTTCAGGGCACCCCACCATGTGGGGTTCTGGGCTCACCAGTCCTTCTTCCCTCTAGCCCACAGAGGAGGGCTAGAAAGCTGGCTTGGAGACCCCCTTAGCCCCACCAACCCACCATTCCAGCCTGTATCTCCTCCCCAACCATGCCTCCTCCTCTGGGAAGTCTTCCCAGGTATCCACCTTCTGGAACTCTTTGTGGCTGGCCCTTCATTATTGAGCTCAGCTCCAGATGATCGCCATACACACGTGGGGGCCCTTGTTTTTCACCCAACAAGGTCCTGCTGCCCAACACCAGACCACTGCCCCAGCAGACCCTGAAGAGATAGGGCACAGGTACGGGTTCAGACGGACCTGGATTGACCCTGCCCCTGCCTCTGACCAGGCAGGGCTCCTCTGAGCTCTGCTGCCAGGACTCTGCTCCTTTCCCACCTCCACCCCCAGGATCCTGTTTCCCATCCAGCTGAAAGTCCTGATAGCAGCTCCAGCCTGAGAGCCCCAGGTCAGCTCTGCCCTGTCAAACACACAGTTCAGCCAGGAACCTGTGTCTTTTCGTCCTCAGGCAGCACAGAAATATTCTGGCCCTGACCCGGGGCAGTGTTCTGGCCACCCCAGAACTCCCCAAAGTCCTCCCCAGGGTGCACAGGCCCAGGCCAAGGCTCCAGCCCTGGGTCTGCCCTCATCTAACAAGCACCCTGATGAAGCACTTCTGACCCGCTAGTCATTCCCACCAGGGCTCCATGCAGGCCTCTGCCAGCATGACCTGCTGCTGCCCACAGGCCGGCCGGGCCCTGAGCTGCCAGAGCTCGGGTATCCCAAGACCCAGCACCCCCACTCCTTGTTGGTGCCCACAAGTACCTCCAGGCCTTCTGCAGCAACCAAGCAAGGGGAGCCTCTAGCAGCAGGCCTCCAAGTGGAGAAACCTGTTCTCCGGGTTTGTGGTGGACTGCTGAGGGGCCTCCTTCCCTGGGCAGGGCCGCACCCTAACGGTCCTGTCCCTGTACCTGGGGCCAGCTTTGGGCGGAGGCTCTTCCTCAGTTCTCCACCCCCCTTCCTTAGTCTCTTTCACCCACTTACAGCTGAAGACAGAGAAGAATGGGACATTTGGATCTAGAACTGCCCCCTGGGTGAGTGGGAGCCAATAACCACCCCTGCTCTGTGCCCTAAGTGCCTGCTGTCCTGCCTTCCTTGGAGAGTCCTGGGACAAGCCTCCTGGATGGGACCAGCACCCCTGCCCCTGAGCCAGCCCATCACCCAGGCAAAGGGTGTCAGCATTTAGCCTTCCTTTTGCCATCCCAGCAAAGAACAAATTGCCCCTGTCTCTTCTATGGGGACAGCCAGCAAGGACAGGGTCTCTAGGACTCCAGCAAAGGATCTTCTGGGATCAGCTCCAGTCCTGGGGTGAGTATGCACACCCAGCTTGGTGACCCTGGCTGGATCAGAGACTGGGAAAATGGACTCACCTCACTTTTCCTTCTTTCCTGCTTTGACACTGTTTTCCTGAGTGGCTGCTGTGTGCCGGGTACTGCAGCCACCGAAACGGCAACCCTGCTCTGGTGGAGCCCGTGGGTGCACATCCATTAGCCTGCTATATGGTTCTGGTGCCGGGATGACCTGGGGAGCCAGCCGTGGAGCAGATGCAGAAGGGCCATCCTGCTGAGCTCCCTCCATACTCCCAGACTTCCCAGTCCTTGACTTACTCTGTCCCAGGCTTCCTCACCAGTGGAATTCTGTTAAACAAGTGGCCAGAGCTAGCATCCTACAGAAGGATGTTGGGGACGGGGACAATGAAACACCTTGGGTCTTACGAGAAAGTAGATGCATTTATTGGAACAAGAGCTGAGAGCAGTGCTTCTCCCAGGGGTGGCCTGTGCTCGGCAGCTTCCACAACCCCAGAGCTTGTCAGAGACACAGAATTCCACCTAATAGGACCCACTGACCTCAATCTGCACCTCCCTCCATTGCTTGGCACTGATATAGGAGGTGCTCAGGAAATACTAGCCAATTACTATCATTGTTCCCATTTCACAGACCAGAAAACTGAGGCCCAGGGAGTAGAGATGGACCTTGTATGGTGCTCTCTATGAGTGACTGGCTATCCCTATGAGGGCCAGTGAGATGCTCCAGTGTAGTGTCACCAAAGAGCTTCACTGCTGTTGAAAAAAAGGGAAACACTTGCCTTAGGGATTGTGATGACCCCTCATGGAGCCCAGGAGGTGAGTGCTGGAGCCCCAAGGCCAGGGTACACCTGTCAGCCACTTCTGCCCACACCTGTGGCTGCATTCCCTAAAAACTATATGACTCCGGTCCTTCCTGCCTTCCATTGTTGAAGTAGAAATCGTGCAGGCTCTGAAAAAGGGCAACCAAAGGAAGGTGGCAATGGGAAGATGTACCCTCCCCTGGCAACAGTCCCCATCCGGGAACCCAGAACACTGTAGGAGATAGGCTTGCCAGCGGACCTGGAGGACTGATTTACAAAGAAGCCTCGTGCCCATTCTGCCTTACACTATCTCTTCCCTCTGAAAGCCCCATAAGGGGTTCTGCCCTTTCCTCTTCCTGCTTCCCCATCTTTGCACTGAGGTGGAGGATTCTGACCCAGCATCATTATTTGGGATTAATACTGCCTAGCCAGCGAAAATTTTACCATTGGAGATTGTAGCGCAAATGGACCAATGGCGCCATCTGCTGGCCATTTGCTTCTGCCCTTTAAGAAGGACCTCGAGGGTAGCCAGAGGCCTGGGATGCACTATTCCCAGGGCAGGCAAACAATCCAGGAAGCTGAGTGAGGATCAGAGGCCCCTTTCAACAGCTCCACCAAGATCTGGGGCTGAGATTTGAACTCATGGGGACCCAAGCTCCATCCCCCCAGGAACAACAGACACCTGGCTATTGCCTCAGGTCTCCCCACTCCCCCTGCTGGGATTTTTACCCATTGTATAAATGAGAAGAGTATCAGGAAAATGCAGTGAAGGTTGCCCTGAACAGGCCCTGCCTCATGGGCTCATCCTAGAACTGAGCTCATGAATCTCAAGGAAAGAAAGCTTCTCTGTGGTCACACAGGCCAGAACAGCCTTGGGCCAGGCCAGCAAGGAACTTGCATTTCAAACTGTTGCATAAACTTGTTGAGAAGCTTGTCAGTGCCTTGATATCTCCAGCTGGGCCATGCCTGCCGCCTGGCCCTTGCCAAACAGTTCATCCAGGGCTGCCCAACCCAAGTAGACGAAAGCCTCCCTGTTCAAGAGATGGGTGAACCAGTGAAGACGGAATCTTCTTGTGAGATTGGGGCCAGTAGCTCTATTATCTCAGTGGCAGAGAGTTCTTGATTCACACAGAGTTCTTTGTCTCTTGAGTGCCATGAATGCAATTCATGGACAATGGAGGGTGAACGTACACAGATGAGAGGTTTATTAAAGGAAAGGACATAGCTCCCACCTGAGGCGGGGAGGGGTCCCGAGCAGGATGCCAGTGAACTTTGGGTGGGGGGGGTGTGTTTTAACCATTTTCTCCGATAATCAGGCGCGTGGAAAGCAGCACTCTTATTGGTCATGCTCACAACCTTCCGATCAGACCGTGGTCTAACCTGGTCTCATTTCCCACCGATCTGAATTGGTGGGGGAAAGGAAGCGCTGTGAGGGACTGGTGTTAAGAGAGATGGTGTCATCTCTCCCGTTTATCAGCAGCTCAGGTTATAATGGAAGTTTCCTGGGGGCCCCTGATCCTGCACCTGCCTGATTTCATTTAACTACCTAACCTGTTCTCTCCAGCAGGGTTAGGAGCCTCAAAGGGGCCTGAGGACTTAAAGAGCAGGGAGAGACTTCAGGACCACTCCGGTCATGACCCGTTCCTCTTAGAGGGTCATGCCTGCAGCGTTGGGGCTACGCGCTCCGCCCAAGTCTTCCCCAGCTCGGCCATTGGGCTGAGCCTATCCCGGGACGTTCGCACGACTGAGACCCCGCAGGTGAGACCAGAGGTGAGACCAGAGGTGAGACAAGGAACTGCAGCCTGGACTGCCCCAAGGCTTGGCTGCGGTCAGCGGGACTCGGACGCCTTCACCCCTTGCCTGCGCCGCGCCTTCCTCCTGCAGTCCCGCGGGGCTCCTCGACCTACCAACAGGACGGGAAGCTCAAGGCTGTCGGGTGCCCTTGCCGCACCCCACATACGACGACCCCAGCGGAGACCGGCCGCGGATATCCAGCGCAGCCCGCTAGGCCCCGCCCCTCTCCTGGTTCCTCCCCTCCCTCTTCTACCTTAGCCCCACCCCTTTCCCCTGGCAGCTCCTCGCCACCGCCCCCCTCCCGGGCCGGTCGGCCGCCAGGACACCAGGTCCAGCTGTAGCTGGCCTGTGACGACCACAGGGCTCTGGCCTCCGATCGCGTGTGACCTTGGCACACGCCCCAGAACTCTGTCCCTCTCCGGGAGCAGAGTGGCTGGGAGAGGTCTGGGGTTCAGGCAAGCACAGGCGGCTGTCCCGTCACCATCGTCCCGGGGATCTCCTGGGGCCCCAGGCTCCTTCTGCGAGTCCAACGTCGGACGGCAGGAGACCCCGAACAGCGATAGACGCCGCTGCCCATCCCATAGTCCCACGCTGCCTTCCCTAGTCGCCGGCCCCGCCTTCCACCTCCCAGCTCCGGCCCCGCCCCCTCCAGCTCCGCCCCCTCCAGCTCCGCCCCTCCAGCTCCGCCCCCTCCAGCTCCGCCCCCTCCGGCTCCGCCCCTCCAGCTCCGCCCCCTCCGGCTCCGCCCCTCCGGCTCCGCCCCCTCCAGCTCCGCCCCCGCCGCGCGCCACTTAGCCTCGTCATGCTTTCCTCAGGCCCCGCCCCCTGCCTCGTGACGTGGGAGAACTCCACCGCACGCCGCGCTACGTCGTACGTCATCATGGCGCGCCGGGGCGGGCTGAAGCCGCGAACTCTGCGGCCATGGCGCGGGCCTGTCCGCCGGAGGTGATCCGTGCGGCCCAGAAGGACGAGTACTACCGCGGCGGCCTGCGGAGCGCGGCGGGCGGCGCCCTGCACAGCCTGGCGGGTGAGCGACCCGGAGACGGGAGGCGGGTCTACTGCGACCCCCGGGCGGGCTCGGCCCCGCGTCCCAGGTAGGGGCGGTCCCGGCCCCGGACCACAGCCAGGCTCCCTGCTCCGGAGGCCCTTGGGAAAGTGACGATTAGAACAGATTTTCTTCCAGGCTGTGTTTATTTTACAAACACCTTGCCCTTACTCTGTGCCAGGCAGTCTCCCACTTACTCCTCAAACGTCTCTTCAGGTAGGACCTGTCGCTTCGTCTTCGTACAGGTCAGCAAATGGCAGTTCCAGAAAGATGCAGTTGAGAGCTGAAATTTGCCGTTAGATGGGTGGTCTCTGGCCTCTGCTTTTAGCGCTAGCTAGACCGTTTTTCCTGGGGCCTTCTATGGTCTAGAATGATTGCCCAGGCGGATCCCAGACCTGATGCAGGTGGGACGTGCCCAGGAGACGGGTCTGTGGTAGAGAGAGAACCTGGGTGGGGCCTGCTGAGTGGACGCTGTGTAGAGAGGAGTGGTTGAGACTGGGCTCTGCTTCTGTGGAAGGGTGACGCTTGACCTGGACCTTAGCACTTGGGAGAGGATTGCTGTCCCTAATTCTAGAGAATCCTCACCAACGTCCCGGGAATAACCTCTCTTTGTCCTCTCAGGTGCAAGGAAGTGGCTGGAGTGGAGGAAAGAGATCGAGCTGCTCTCAGATATAGCCTACTTTGGCCTCACCACAGTTGCAGGTAGCAGTTCTGCTAAGAACTAAGGGACCCACAACTCACCTAAGTCAGAGGACAGTGCAGGGGGCGGAGGGGGTCAGGGCTGCCAGGCAGAGTGAGAAGCTCCTGGAAATGGCCTATACGCAGCCTCAAGGAAGAAGTGGTCCCTAGGCCAGACTGAGCCCCCGTCTGGAGGGCAGGGCCCAACCCTCATCCAGTGGCATCTCCTCTGCTTTTTATGTCCCCGAGAACCTTCATCAGAACTTTTCCAAGGGTGACATTGAGACCTGTTTCTCAGTGGCTGGCCTTGGTGACATGAGCAGGTCACAGTGCTCACCCATCAATGGTGCTGGCAGTGAGCCCTGGTGGGGTGGTAGTGTCAAGGCTGATGGTCATCCTTTAGAGAGAAGCACTGCAGGGAGAGCCTCAGGCTTGGCAGCCAGTCCTACAGGAGAGGGTCACCCAAGGGCATCCTGCAACCACAGAGTGCATTCTGGTTAGTAGGAGATGGACAATAAGCACCAAATGACTGCATTATGTTACATCCTGAGAGGTAAGGAGCTTTTCAGGATTAAAGACCAGGTCTGGGGAAAGCATTTTCAAGACAGCAACTGGAGCCATGGCCCTGAGAAGGAGGTGGCTTCAGCAGACTGGACTTTCCCTCTAAAAGGTGTGAGAGGGGAGAGGCTGACTGCTGGCTGTGACCAAAACACAGGGGTGGGAGATCTGCAGAGTCTGTCCCAGCCTGCATCTGGGTTATGGTAAGACACATGGGGTACAAGAGTCCAGGGTGCTCTGCAGGCTTGGCCTCAGGAACAGACGGACAGCATCATTTCCAGCAGAGTCAGGAAATGGGAAATCAGGCTTTCCTAGGTGGGGGCTGGGACTCTCTTGGCAGGGGTGACTTTAGGATATTTATCTGATGCCACATGGTGTTATCAGGTTGGCAGCTGACCTGGAAGCCTGGTACAAAGGAGTGAGTCAAGTCCAGGCTGGGCCATAAATTGAGGCTACATCAGTGCATATGGAAGGTGGGAACCACAGGACTAAATCCCATTGCTTGGGCAGGATGTAGGAGAGGCAGCAGGGGAGTAAACAGCACAGACTCCAAAGAAGAGCAGGTACCAAAATGGAGGATCCTGGCCAGAGCCCAGGAACCCATGGCAGCCAGAGTGGCAGGTTATGTCACATACTGTCTGAGATCATGGCAGGGCTACAGTGGGGTTAGCAAGGGAAGGTCATGTTGGCCTTGGCGAGGGTTCAAGGGTGACAGCCTGGTCATCCTGGGCTCTTGAACTCTTTTAACCTCAGCATTACATTGTTAACAGTACCCCTTTTCTAAAGATGAGTACAGGCTTAGAGTCATCTTGTCCTGCTGGAATTCACTGTGCAGAGCCATAGCTTCTCATTTCATTAGCATCCCCAAGGCCAATAAGAATGGACTGGAACCTCAACTCTCACTGACGACAATACCTGGAAGTTGTTTTAAATTTTTTTTTTTTTTTTTTCCTTTGGTGGTAGTAGGGTTTTAACTCAGGGCCTCATGCTTGCTAAGCAGGTGCTCTGCCACTTGAACCATTCTACCAGCCCTGTTTTATGTTGGGTATTTTTTTGAGATAGGGTCTCGTAAACTACTTGCCTCGGCTGTCTTCCAACTGGGATCGTCCTGATCTCTGCCTCTCAGTAGCTAGGATTACAGAAGTGAGCCAACAGTGCCTGCTTGGTTTTTTAATTAAATGCAAATCTGTAGATTCTCTCCTTCCTCCTCCCAGAAAATGAAAAATAATGCTTTTCACATTGTTTCTAGAGTTTTAAAGTTAAAAATGATGGTACTATCCAAAATTTTTTATTTTTGAACATGACAATATTCTTTTAAAATAGACTCAAGATCAGAACATCTTATCCTCATAAAGTTAGGTAGCCTGTTGACTCCAAAGGCTTTGATCAGTGCCATCCACACGCTTTTCCATTTGACATGCACTAAATTTTGTTGTTTGTGGGAGTGTGTGCTTATAATGACATCACTGCCTGCCTAACTTAGGAGAATTACATTCCTGGTTCTGTGTGAGGAGAAGGGTGTGTAAAGCATATAAAATATTAACCCTCATTTCTTGTAACAAAATGAGGCTAATATTTAAATTATAGGCTAATATTAATTGTTCTCAGACTAGATATTTTTTTTTCCTCAAAATTAAAACTTTTTTTTGTTGTTTTTTGTTTTGTTTTGCTGGGTTTTTAACGGGGGGCCTTGCACTAGCTGGGCAGGCATTCTACCACTTGAACTGCACCATGAGCCCAAAGCAATTTTTTCTTTGGGATTTAATGAAGTATTGAGCTGAAGCCAGTTTGACGTGGTGGGAGATGTCAGACTGAGGAAAGTTTGTGCAGCCTGAATTAAACAAACCCTGAACCCTTTTAAAGAACAATAAAACATCTACTTAATGACAGCCTGGAGAGTTTGAGAGTGACAGGTGGGGCTGGGAGAGCTGGCATGTGGGCAGAGGCTGACACAGCAAACTGGCCTGCAAGCCCATTCCTGCAGCAGGCCCCACCAGTGCGCACTGTTCTTGTCCTCTCAGGCTACCAGACACTAGGAGAGGAGTATGTTGGCATTGTGCAGGTGGACCCGTCCCAGCAGCGTGTGCCCTCCAGGCTTCGCCGCAGTGTGCTGGTCACACTGCATGCAGTCCTACCTTACCTGCTGGACAAGGCCCTACTGCCCCTGGAGCAGGAGCTGCAGGCCGATGGTGACAGCGCACGGCCCTCCCAGGGCAGCCTGGTGACCAGTGGGCGCAGCCGGTCAGGGGCACGGCACTGGGTGCATCGCCATACAGCCACCCTGACTGAACAGCAGAGGAGGATACTCCAGCGGGCAGTCTTTGTCCTCAGACAGGGCCTCGCCTGCCTCCATCGGCTCCACGTCGCCTGGTTTTACATCCATGGTGCCTTCTACCACCTGGCCAAGAGGCTCGTGGGCGTCACTTATGTAAGTAACAGTGCCTTACTTTGGGCCCATGCTAATGACAGTCGTAGCTGAATGCTCTGTTTCAAAGCTGGAACCCCCAACTCTCTTCTTGGAAAATGGCAGGTTTTGTTCAGTTACATTTTGCATAAGACCCAGGAAGTCCAGTTTCCACAAACCCTGGGGGTAGAGCAAGTCTTTCCTCTTGTAGCCAGCATGAAGGAGAGTGCGGGGGTGGGAGATGGGGTGGCTCGTGGGAGGTTGGGCAGGGCATAACCTCATGGCAGTTCTTTACAAAAGGCCTGGAGCTGTGTCCATTTCACTGCTTTGGGGAATAAGCATCTGATCTCAGATGATGGCAAGCATGGTCTCCAACCCAGCTCCTTCCCCTCTTCTCACCTCCTATCCCCTTGAGGCCCCTGCCCACCATCCAGCAGCCCTGACAGAGAGGCAGGGCTCTCCTCCAGGGAACGTTCCTGGCAGTAATCTATGGTGACCACGTAACTTTGGCACCACCGGCCCGCCGGGCCTCCTTGAGTCTGTGCTTGCCTGGCTAGACACTCTGGAGGCAGCCTCCCCACCTCTTCTCACCCTGGCTCTCCACTGATGCCCTTGCTTCCCAGTTTGCCCACAAAGCCTCCCCTGTGGTCCCACTACCATGTTCCCTGCCCTGGCTCCCTGCCCTGGCCCCCAGCCCACCAGAGCCACTGTGCTGCACAAAGCTCCTTTCAGAAAGGACCCCACCCCTTCCCTCTGGCCCTTCTGCAGCCAGGCTGCCCTGCCTCCATATATAACAGGTCACCAGGAGCCTTGTCATGGAGCTGTGGCTGGGTCTCAGTCCTCATCTCAGTGCACGCAGATTCCAGAGATATCCAACAGAGTCCTTGCGCCCAGCAGGAGTTTGCTGAGTGTCTGTGTACTGGGCTCCCAGGGCGGGCACAGGGCTCCTTTCCATAAGGAAGCAGAGCCAGGCTGACAGTGGGACCTGCCACCTCCATATACGCTCCCACTCCAGCCTGAGGCCTGTGTGACCTGACAGTCTTCATTCCCAGCCAGTGGGAAGGGACATCGGAAGTGGAGGACAGCAGGCTTTCTCTTCAGTGATGTGACCAGGAGAGACTGGGACAGTGTCCCTGGGGGCCATTGTCCTCAGGGGGGCCATGTGCCTTGCTAAAGTAGGAAAGCATCCATCCCTAGGGTAGGGCACCCTAGGTGAGCAGTGTCTGCACATCTGCCCATGCCTCCCCCCCAACCCTGCTATCACCACACACACCCCTGCTCTTTCTCAGCCCCTTTGCTGGTTCTTTTCTGAGAGGTGGTCCCTAGGTGACCCCAGAATCCTCACCCACCCCCCTGGCCAATCCAGTTTTGTGGCTCAGACCTATGCTGACAACCTAAAGATCAGCTTGTAGCTAGGACTCCCCAAACCCATCTCCCTGGCCTTGCACTGCCAGGGAGAGACCTGGGTGGGTCCACCTGAACACAGGACCTGTAGCAGACACTGAGGCCAGGTCACCTGCCTTGACAGCTCCGCACCCGCCACTGGCCTGGAGAAGACCAAAGGGCTCGTGCAGGCTACCAGCTGCTGGGTCTTGTCTCCCTGTTGCACCTGGCACTCTCCATGGGGCTGCAGCTGTATGGCTTCAGGCAGAGGCAGCGTGCCAGAAAGGAGTGGAGGCTGCACCGCAACCTGTCCTACCACAGGTACACAAGGAGCCTGAGGGGCCTCAGCACAGCACAAGGACTGTGGAAGGCACTCTCACCTGAATGTGTCCACCCTCCCCAGGGGTTCCCTGGAAGAGCGAACTGTTCCCAAAACCCCACTGTGCACCCTGTGCCTTGAGGAGCGCAGGCACTCAACAGCCACGCCCTGTGGCCACCTCTTCTGCTGGGAGTGCATCACCGAGTGGTGTAATACCAAGGTGCGTGCAGCCCAGGGCTGGTTGACATGGTGGTAGTGCAGACCGTAAGGCAGAGGCACACTCAGCCCATCTCCAAAACCGCCCCGATTTGGGGGTGGAGAGGCGGGCATCTTTCCAAATGTTCCCAAGTCCGTGCCTGTTGAGGCTTGCTTGTATCATGGGTGCATAGACCAGGCCATCCTGGTCCTGTTCACAGGCCCATCCTGCCTCCTGGACTCCTCAGTACACTGGGGACCTCGGTGCACTCGTATGTGCCAGGCTGGCCTTGTACAACTGTTGGCCTGTTTCCAGCAGGTTAGGTACCCAGGGAGGCAGAGCAGGAAACCCTGCCTCCCTTCACAAGCTGGGCGTCAGTGGAAATGCTTAGCCTGGTGAGCCATTGCCCTGGCCAGGAAACTGAGCAGCAAGCGTGAGGGAGGAAGCCTTGATGCAGCTGCAGCCTGGCCACTCTGAGGAGTGGCACTCTCAGGGGTTTAGCAGGATGGAAGACACACATCCATCCTCCTGAGACTCGGCAGTGTGGTGGTCTGGGTGGGCATTTCCTGAGTGCCCAGTGGACATGAATGTGAAGTGTGTGTGCTCAACACAGAAGACACAGAGCAAGTCTTGTCCACGGAGAGGCAGTACCAAGGTTTATCCAGGGATTAAACAGCACTGATTGAGCCTGAAGCCTTCCACAGCTGCTGGTCCAGGCATGCTGGGCAGATGTGCTCACAGTTGCCAAGGAAAGCCCAAGAGGAGGTCCCAGGTGCCCAGGCTCACAGACATTTAGGATGGGTGAGACACCCTTTGTGGGGGCCCCTGGATATATGAGAGCACAGCTGTCCTGAGCTAGCACTAGTCCAGCAGGACTCAGACCCCTAGGAAATGATGTTTTCTGATTGAACTGCAGGAGATCGGGTGGGGAGGTGCACAGCCAGTGTGACGTGACCTTCCCCTCCCCTCCCCCACAGACGGAATGTCCACTCTGCAGGGAGAAGTTTCCTCCCCAGAAGCTGGTCTACCTACGTCACTACCGCTGATGTGACACCAGATGGCTCCAGGAGGTGACAAAACCTCAAGGAGGAAAGTCTCTTATCAGGATTCTGCAGTGGCACAGAAAATCATAAAGTCTCACTTTGTTTTGTCACATAAGCTACTACCCCAGGCACCTTTAAGGCTGCATGGGCAGGGACGGTCTGTACCTTGGTGCACCATACAACTTTTTCAGAAGTCTCTTTTTTAGACAGTCTTACATTTTCCCTTCCCTTCCCCAAGCCACACACCCAAGAACTAATTCAGAAGTTGGCCAGAAAGAGTTTTATTCGTGTCTGTAGAGAAGAGTATGCCCCATTAGACTGGCAGAGGCAGGGCTAAGTGTCACAGTGGGGGCGGCGGGTGCAGTGGAGAAGCATGGTCACAAAGGACCCTGTACCCTGAGGTAAACAAGCTGTCTTCAGGACTTGGCGTTAAGATCACACACCAAGGGTCAGTACCTCTGTCTTAAGACATTTGGCACATTTAATACTCTTCTGGTTTTCAGCTTGATCTAAAGGCAGGTGATGAGCACCCGCCCTGGCAGCTGAGGCAGCTTGCTTAAGTTTTCTAACAAACACCTGACTTTAAAGTGCTCTCAGTGCCCAGTCCTCCAAGGGAACTAGGGCAGCCACTGTCCTGGAGACAGGAGGGCAGGCAGTCTGCTTACCCAAAATCACTGGATGTCCAACCCCCTCTCACTTGTCCCCACCCTGCTTCTTGCCTCTGGTCAACTTCCAGGTTTTAAAAACTAACTCATGCTGGGAACAGCTCGGCATCTGCAAGAAGCAAATTCCACAGACATGTTGGCACTTTAAGAACAGAAGACTGACCTGAAGGACTTCATAAAACATGGTGTGGAGATGCCCCTGCCAGGACCTCTGTGCTGCCCAGCCAGCAGCACCAGCTTTGATATCTGAGTCCTCTATTTCTGGTAGTCAAGCCCAGCCTGTCAGGAGCAGGTGGCCATGCCTTCTCTAGATGGGGAGGAGCCCTGGGGGAGCATGAGGCACCTCGATAGACCCCACAGGAAAACAAAGTCTGTGGGAGAACCCCGAGCACAGCTCTACACAGCTGTCTCCATCCAGCCCTTCATTTACACTGCTCTGGCCAAGTGCAGTTTGCTGTCCTATCTTAGACCTGAGCACTGACTAGGAAAACAATGGGAAATGAAAACAAAAGGTCCAGGACTTAAAAATCCCAAGTGTGACGCGGTAACAAAAGTACCAAGTTGGAACATTTTAAGAAGATAGGTCTGGAATACAAAAGGACTTTAGCCTCTTAAAAGGAGCAGCTCAGTTTCACATATGCAAAAGTCAACAAGAGAAACCCCTGAAATTGATAACTCAAGGAACTAGGGCGGCCACTGTCCTGGAGACAGGAGGGCAAACAGTCTAACACTGCTACAGATAGGAATACCACCCACACCAGGTGGGGCATGTGAGTGGGCTTGTACCTCGGAGCCTGTATGCAACCACACCCGCGTGTCCCCTCTGTCCCATTGCTGCTGACAAAAATGGCCTGCCTCCTACAGCTGCAGAAAGCAAGCTGGGTTTACATGTAGTGACAAATGGTTTAGATGAAGACTACACAAGCAAGGGGATGCTGTCTTTAAGAAAGCTGGAATTAAAAAGTCACTCGTAAAATTTGTAAGAGGTTTTTTTTTTTTTTTTTTAAATCACATCAAAAAGTTGGCATGCTGTAGGTTTCCCCATAGAAAGTGGAAAACCATGTGTCAAACCCACAAAACTGGTTTGCTCTGGCCTCTTGATGTTTCTTTAAAGGGGTTGCTGCATTAGGACAAATTTAAACTAGTCAAAACAAATTACGTACCAAAAGAATGTGTCAAAATAATCTCAAACAGTTAAAATATAATATATATATATTTATAATTCCAGGCCCTCAAAAGCAATCATGGTAGTTAAGAACAAAGTTTTGAGTCATGATAGGTCAACTGGAAACATCTCTAGTGAGATGAAATTCAGAAACTGGCGTCAGAACCCACAGAGTTATTTGAAAGTCATCCTTAAAAGTGTTACATTCTTTCCCACACAGAGAAATCACACTTGTGTGTCCCAGTGGCCCAGAAGAGCGGCCTCACCATAGTCAGGAGGGCAGCTCACTCAAAAGAGCCTCCCTCCCATCCCTGTCCCACTCCCAAGGCTGCCACCCACCTGGCTTTCCAAGCCTGTGGTTTATCACAGTTCTGTCCATTTGAAACGTGACTATCACTGAAAAAGAAATCAATGTATTTGGTTTAAATGCCGGTTTCTTCAAGAACCTGGTATTTCAGATACAAATCATTGAGGCTCCTTTTTAAAAAGAAAATCCGACTCCCTCGTAATCAACTAGTTTATGTGAAGAGAAAGGCATTGTTACAATGGCTCAAAACCGTTGTTGAGTACGTGTGAGATTCAGTCCAGCTTCTAACTAGCAAACGCCTTGCCTGCGTCCTCCTTCCCCTTGTATCTCCTCTTCCCGTGTGTGAAAGGTAGGTACCGGTATTTGATCATGTGCTGGAGAGACAAACAAACAAGCTCGAGTCACTTCACAACAGTCTCCTGAGCAGACATTTTCCTAGAGCTCCCTGGGGCACAGCCGTTCTGTTGCAAACGCAATCAAGATGTCATTCATGCTTGTCTCCCCACTAACACAGCAGAACCTTCCAGGGCCCAAATGACCCACCAAGAGTCCTATCTGAAATCCCAAGATTCAGGAAGCATTTCATGAGCCCTTCCTGTAGGAAGAGCTGGGGAAGTGAGGGTGTACCACATCCCCAAAAACATTCCTCCTTGTGCAGGCTGCCACTGGGCCCTAAGCTCTTGACTAGGAAGAGCAGGTAGGACAACCACAGTACTGGGGTTGACCCAGCAGCACCCAGGACTTCCGCTCCCCCCCCCCACCCTGCCCCCCCAGCATCCAGCAACCTACCCTGAGAGCCCACTGGCTCCCACAATCACACTCTGGCCTTGGTTGGAAACCGAGCCTGGGTCCTCATCACACACAAGGCAGTGCCACCCCTGCTCTAAGCACAGACCTGGGCATGTCTTTCCCCGGGTTACTGCAGTAACAGGACAGTAATTCATCTCAGCACAGCAAGGTGCTGACATCTTTACCTTTATTTGCCTCTTCATTGTGATACAGAAAAGCATGATGAAGTACATCACCAGGATCGGCCAGAACACTGGTACGTTGAAAGCTTCAAAGAAGGTACACACCATAGCCACAAGGATGCCCTTTGTAGCCGCATGCCTTAAAACAAGGACAGAAGTTAGCGCCATCTGCAGTCAGCCCCAGGTACCTGCCCGCCACCTCTGGCCTCTACCTCCACTCACAAAGACACAGCTACAGGGAGGCAGATCCCTGCTAGGGAGCGGCACAGTCTCTGCATGTATTTTCTGTGTGTGCTGCATTTAACCATAGCTGCGTCCTTCTCTTAGTCCCCTGAAAACTAAAAGTCTTCTCACACAAAGCATGAAACATCCATGCTGAAGCCAGATACACCGCATGTTTGCTGCCTGCACCTGCCATTTAGGAGGACACCTCAGGCACTGGGCTTACCATCAGGAATCTGAGCACAAAGCAGTGCCCTCCCACACAAGGGCATAGCCCTCCTGCCATCATCACACCCTCTAACCAGGCTCCATATCCCCTACTGAAATTCCCCCATTGCTCTCCCTACAGAACAAGTCCAGATTTCTCAGGGGCTTCCAGGGCCCCAGATCTTGCCCACTTTCCGCTTGATCCCCTGCCCAGCCCCCACACTCCAGCATCTCACACATCATGTCCCACACAGAGCACCAACACTGCTGAGTAAAGGCATACAACTAGAGGAGCCCAGTTTGCTCACTGAATTTACTGAATAAAAACTGGCTCCTCCTGTGCCCCTGGGGCAGGGAGTACCACAGAAAGGACAGGAGACAAAGTCACACAGCTCCTGATCCTCTGCTCTGACAGAAGGTCACATAAGCTGCACCCACCTATACCTACTGGTGTTCGCATCATTCTCACCACCAGCAGGAGGCCTGGTCTGCAGAAGGTCCAACCCCAAGAGTGGGTCCTGACCAAGGTCCTGCCCCAACATCAGATATCTCCTCTCATGACCCTCTCAAGAACTAGTCAGGAAAACACCTGCCTATCAATCATAAGGCCCTGAGTTCAAACCCCAGTACTGTCCAAAAAAAAAAAAAATACTCCAGCAGAAAGCTAGTCCACCTCTTTTGGCCAGGCCTGAAGGGAAGGTGCTCAACACTCCTCCTGAGTCTGCAAGATGCCAACACCCTCTATCCAGCAACCAGCCTCTCATCTACTAGCTCCAAACCACTGTGCCTAGAAGCCCAGAGAACACTTGGAGTCAGTTCTCCCCTCCAGAGTCCCAGTGACCAAACCCCATCCCCAGCCATCACCTTTCAGATGAATGAACATCACAAGCAAACTAAGCACAACAAAACTCTCATTTCTTTAAAAAGCCTAAGTAGCTGGCTGACCAAAAAAAAAAGAAAAAATGAGTATATTCTCAGTCTCCTTAGCCACACCTGAGCACAAGCATCTTTTTCAAACACCTTAAGAATTAACGTTGTGACTTCTAATGTTTACGGCACAGGAGGGCGACTATGGTGGACAAGTCACTGCATATTTCAAAATAGCTAACATTCCCAATACAAAGAAATGACAAATGTCTGTGGTGATGGCTACACCAGCTACCTGAACTAATCACCACACACTACGCACATGTACTGAAATATCACACTGTGCCTCATACACGTGCAATTACTATGTCAAAAATTAAAAACATAATTTAAAGAAGTTTACTAGGAAAAAAATTAACTCACCAAAATTTGAACTCTGGAAGCCTTCGAATGAAGGGACGAAATTCCTCGTTCTGTTTGGTTGGTAAGGAGGGGCCGTCATCTGAAAGACAGAATACCAAGCAGAGACAAAGCATAAAGCATCTGCCTCGTTACCTTTTTATCTTTTATCACCACATTCACAAGTTTTCCGGGGCTGGAGGCGTGGTTCATGTGGTAGAGCGCCTGCCTAGCAAGCACAAAGCCCAGAGTTTAAGCCCCAGTACTGCTTTTAAAAAAAAAAAAAAAAAAAGGACTGGTAGAGTGGCTGAAGAGGTAGAGCGCCTCCCTTGCAAGTGTAAAGCCCTGAGTTCAAACCCCTGTACCTCTAGGAGAAAAACAGAAAGAAAGTGTGCAAAGAAAACAAGGGCACTGCAATTTACACAAAACAAGCAGTAAAGGAAAAAATGCAAGCAGGGCATGGTGGCACAAGCTGGCTGTGGTGATGTACACCTGTAATCTCAGCACTCAGGAGGCTGAGGCAGGAGGATCACAAGTTCAACGCCAGCCTAGGAGACTCCTATCTCAAAAAAAACAACAAAAACGAAAAGGGAAAGAACTCAGGCAGGGCTGAGTCCTTGTTCAGAAGAACACATAGAACCATGGCAGGTGGACTCACGCACCAGCAACTGCCAAGCGCCAGGCTTCTGCTCACTGAACTGCACCCCATTTTCAGATAACAAATTCAAGGTCTACAGAAAAGGGTCTTAATTATCTTGTAATCTCCTCCAAACAGTGACATTAAATGAAAGGTGCCATATTTCCTTTTGGTGTTTTCATTATTATACAGAGGAAAATCACAACTTCTGCCATCCAGTTTGGAAACCTCCCACAACAAAGCAGACTCCACAGCAGGACACCAGGACACCTTCAAGTGTGCCTGGACAGACCAACTCATTACCTGGGCCACCCATCCTGGCTAGGACGGTCTGTGCTAACCTGTCTGGAACAGGTACAGCCAGGGGCAGCATGAGTGCCACAGCAGGGCACACAGACATGCCAAGAATATTTCAACTCCTCAGCAATCATTGGGCATATGCCCATATATACATACACGTAGCAGGACACCTGACCCTGCTCTGGTGGTCAACCTGGACGCAGTGGACAGTTTATGCAAACCTCTGGTCCCAAAAGAAGGGAGCCTAATGGAAGCCCTGAGCCATCAAGATGTGCTATGTGCACAGGAGGTGGAAATCCCTGCTATCTTTTCCACACTCTGCAAGGCGACCTTGGACGTACTTCTGTGTGCCTGTTTCCTCATCTGCAAAAGGAGGATAACAGAGTGACACCTCATAGTTGCATGAGGGCTTAGTGAGTGGTTATACACACAAATGCACCCTGATCTGACATCACAAGCGCATGTGAACATCATGAACCTTAGCCTGAGTGTCTTGGCATGTGGGACCATCCTGAGAGGGACACAGAGACATAGCACTGCCCAGAAAGTCCCTCGAACAGCCTCTACTCTACCTGAGTCTTCCATTAAGGAAGGATCCACTTTGGGAGAAAGGAACGCAATGAAGAGGTTTAGGTGGTAGATCCCCAAGGCGTAAGTCACGATGTACCAGCCCTGTAAGAGAAGGATGCACAGGTCAGAGCAGCCCGCCACTCAGCCAGAACCAGTTACCATGGCAACCAGCACCCATAACGCCCCACCACACTGAGAAGCAACCGGTTACTCAAGGTAAGGAGACTGTAGCTTAAGGGACAAAGGATTTCCGTGAATGTCCACAGTGACCACGGTAACCATTTATTTCAAAGTTCTTAGTGGGTCTCAATACTAAAGTAACAATAGGGCCCAAACAACAAACTTCTTCAAAGGTCCAGTCAAACGCATGAGATTCCCAGAACCATGGACTCCCAATCAGGAGTGCAGAGTAAAGGAGGCTTTTCCCAAGACATAGGCCCAACTTGTGCCAGAGGGCTGGGAAATGGCTGGCCACTTGGGTGACACTCACGTGTACTCCAGGCCCAGAAACCTGCTGCAAGCAAACAGTCAAGTGGAATCTAAGAACCTCAGCTATTGCTAAAGATGTGACAACTGAGATCCCTGTGGTGGACAGTGCACATCTGTCAGCAAAAACACTTTACCTAAAATGTTCACCTTGACCAGAAAAAATTCAGAACCAAAAAAATCAGAGCATCAAGAATGAGATTTACAAAAAAATGGGTTTTTTCTGGCAATACCTGGGTTGGAACTCAGGGCTTCATGCTTGAGAGGCAAGTGCTCTGACGCTTGAGCCATGCCTCCAGCCACTACAAAACAGCTTCCTGAGGAGACACAAAGAACTGGGAAACCTTTGTGGGTGCCACTTGCAGCACACTAAAAGCATCAAGTTTATCCCACTAGATATCAGAAACACATCACCAACCTTAAAAGCCTGTACTTTTTCATACAAATAAGAGGAAATCTTTCTGCCTAAGAATTTTTCAAGCCAGACAACTCTAAACTAGATGTGAAAAGTTAACTGAGTGCATACATGCCATCAAGTCACACAGCCAGCTTTAATGGAAACCAAGTCAGTCACTCACCTGGTTCAGAACAGAGTGAAACTAACCTGTGCGTGCTGTGCCCCACCCCACCCACACCCCTACGCCAAGGCTGCTAGTCCAGTCTTTCCATTAGTGAACAATTTTTTTAAAATCAAAACTAATTTTAAATTAGTTTAAATTGTCCTATACAGATCCAGTCCTACCACAATAAAATAGATAATGGCCCAGCACCTTTACACAAACCAATGTTGGGTCAACTCACAGGAATAAATTAATACACGAAAACAACAAAGAATAAATTCTACATTCAGTTTAAGCACTGGAGGAATCAATGAGCTCAGTAAATATATCTGTTGATTCATGGACTGATGCCCTCCAAAATCTTGGAAGATACCAGGAAGGAAGGGTGTATGCTTTAAGTGAGGAAAGCTGGAGAGTGGCTCAAGTGTGAGTACCCACCTAGTAAGCATGAGGCCCTGAGTTCGAACCCCAATACCACCAAAGGAAAATGAGGAAGTATCACAGCTTCAGAGGAGAAAATACTCTGGAGGAGTCGTCTAAAGGACCCTCCTCTGGATCTACAAACAGCAAGCAGCCTCCTCCCCAGGTTTGCAAAAAGCCCCTGGAAAGCAGGTGTTTCCTAGGAGTCAGCAAGCTCCAGAAGGAAAGCCTGTGCCACCTGCCACAGGCGTCCACAGGCGTCCACATGGGTCCACAGACCACTGAGGGGCTGTGGGGCTGCCTCAGGTTGCTCTTTCTCCTGCTCCACCTGACATTTCAACCTCACTCTCCCTCATGATCTGAGTTTAGCTCAGAAACAGCTACACTCTTGGGAACACCAGAGTTACTCATGGTGTCCAAAGTCCAAGAAGGTAGGAATCTGCTACAGAATGTATCTTGTGCCAGAGGCTCTGCCCCAGGAGGCACACAGCTGGGTTAGAGGGAAACCAAAAGCATACATCCAGAGCAGAACACTGTAAGGGAGATAAGACACATGGCAAGGTCAAGATGGTCCTGTGCACACTGGAAATATGACAAAGTTAGGATGAATCGTAAATAATCTTCTCTAAAACAAGAGTCACTGAAATTTTTCTTCATTTTGGCGCTGACCTGAAAAGTGATTATTACAGAGCTCCAGGTGTGGCTCAAGTTGTAGAGCACCTGCCTCACAAGCACGAAGTCCTGAATTCAAACCCCAATACCAAAGGAAAAAAAAATTGCTTATTGTAGATGTCCTTCAAAACAAATTAAATCAACAACATCCCTCTGACCAGCACATTCAGATGATGTGAACACAGCTGAGTTTTGTCATTATAGCCCACACCTACCTGTAACAGGTAAACTCTAATCATGTAGACAAAGCTCAGGCCCAGAGTCACAACCCACCGCACAGCTGTGTAAGGAGTGGACTTGTCCAGCCAGGACTGATAAATCTACGAGACACAAGTTCAAAGACACACGTCAGCTGCAAATGCGGTTTTCAGTTTCAAAAAGAGCTACCTAAAACTAGCACAGTACAGCATCATTAACCCAAAATTTATTCACAGTAATTCCTGAAGCAGGTCATCTCTTAAGCAAAAATTTTACAAAAAAATTGGTCACAGAAGATGGTACTACTGCCCTAGCCCAAAGGAATCATTACGGGGAGACCAACTTCATCCCAAAGAAAGGACTTCAAAAGGAGAAGACACGCATCTTAAAGTCACCATCCCCACACAACAGGATTTGTCACCCATGTCCCACCCCACAACACACTTCTCCCCTGGGGCCTCCTCCCCATACCCTAAGGCTGTGCTTCTTCCAAGACCCTGGAGCCTTTCATCAGCTCTGTGCTGACCTGACATATGTATGTTTTAAAGTTTAATTCTAGAAATTTAAAACCTTTCATTATGAACATTTTCAAACATTCATAAAATGAGCCCACACGTACCCATCACCCAGCTTCAACAATCAAGTTTGCCATATGCTACTTTTTTGGGAGAAAGGGAGTCCTGAGGCTTGAACTCAGGGCTTTGAGCTTGTTAAACAGGTGCACTACGGCTTGAGCCATACCTCCAACTCACTTTGCTCTGGTTATTTTGGAGATGGAGTCTCACAAACTAATTTTCCAGGCTGATCCTCCGGATCTCTGCCTCCCAAGTAGGTAGGATTACAAGTGTGAGCCACTGGTGCCCAGCACCATATGCTACTTTTTAATTAAAAAGTTTATCCGTTTTTAATTGAACCAAAATATCAACACTTGCAAATGTTTCTTAAATTAGACTTCTAGACTGGAGTTCAAGCTCACCTTGTTTGAATAAATGTCAGGCCTCATCACTCTGACAAGCAGCCTCAGATGCAGTCACCAGCATGGTGACCTACATCTACCTGGGCCAACTCAAAAGCCTCACTCAGGGAGCAGAGCCCAGCAGCAGCCATATATATGGCAAAGGCAGGATGAGGCCAGCCAGGAGTGGAAGTGGACAGTGGGATAAAGAGTGGAGGCAACTGTAGAGCAAGGACTATTGCCCTGTCTGTATCATTGAGCGATAAGAAGGATTTTTCCATTTTTAAAGGTTCCTACCTAGACTCTGCTCCACCTGGTCCTTCCAGAACACACAGCACAGGCATTCATGGTGGAGAAGACTAGACCCTGAGAGCATGAGCATCAGATTAGGACAAGCTGTGGCTTAACCTCTTTTTGGCAATGCAGCAAACTCACCCTTGAGAAAGACATGTTGCGAGTCCACACTTCTTGTCCAAATATTTATACTAATGGTCTACAAATCCACTAACCTGTCCAAGTCTTGTGAAAAATCTGTACACCACTGACGGTTTCCCATGGACAGAATCTCCAACACTGTCCCCTTCAGACATTCTGTAACTGAGAAAAACACAAGATCCTCCTAAGTTAAGTGAAAAGCACTCAAGGATGTGAAAATTTTGTCTTACAATGACCGATATGTCACGCAGGTCTTTTTAATACTCAGTATTTCATTTAAACCATTTCCAGGCCTTTGAATTGTTCAGAAAAAGAAACAGGCTTTGGTAAAGGGAAAGGACAAAATAAGGTGGCAGCTGACAGCATGGGATGAACCTCTCTTCTACTGACAGCACCCCAGCCCCACACACATGGTCAGGCTGCCCACACTGTGGCCACAAGAGCTGACCTTGCTAACCCTGGAATCCCCTGGCGGTCCATGCATGTGGCCTACACACCGTCCCCCTGTGTATCTCTTCCTCTGGGACTCCAGGCTCCTGGTAAGCACCCCATTTCTCAGTCCTCCCAGAGCCAGGTCCTCTCCTCCATCAACAGGAAGATGTCATCCAGGGCTTGCAGAAAACTCATCTATCCGTGTCCTGGTTTCTTATCTGGCAATTGGAGGTAATCCTATCTGTTCCAGACTATTTCAGCATGCTGCTGGAATCCCAGGCAGAATCACCTGTGAGAACCCAGGTGTCAAAGGTCACACACACTGTCCCACTTAATTCCCAGATGGCCAAGACAAGGGGCATCATTACCCTCAACTCACAGAGGAACAAGTCTCAAATAGACCAAGGTCATAAAACAGCTCTGCTCCTCAACAGGCCCAGAGCCCAGCGTGACACTCAACCTTCCACTGAGTATTTGGAGGTCTCTCCATTCTTCAGGAAAGCACTGCTGAGTAAGTGGGGCCTCATCATCCACTCTGCTTTAAAGATGAGGCACGTGAGGGCCCCTAAGTTAGGAAAGCTTCCAGGGGCAAAGCTCACTGTCCCCTCAAATCTGTGAGCAGCAGAGTTAAGTCCCTCACACCCGGGCTGAGCAGCTGAGACCTTCAGCAGACCCTCAGACCACATAATCTGCCTGTCTCCACATTCGAAAAATGAAGCTCTTTTAAACCCATCCAGACATAGATTTCATTCCACAGCAAACCTTTGAGCTTCGTCTTAGTGTCCCCTCTTGGATGAGAAAACTGAGCTTCATAAAGGCGCTTCCAGTAGTCAGCCAGTTTGCAGCGGGACTAGAACACCTTCTTTTTTTTAATTTCTGGTGGTACTGGGGTTTGAACTCAGGGCCTCCCAACTGATAGGCAGGCACTCTACCACTTGAGCCACGTCCCCCAGCCCAAGTCTAGCATCTTGTAACTGTGAATATTGGAAAAATCCTCCTTTCAAGGTAGACATCAGCAGGCCGAATAATGTGATGCTGAACGGAAAATGGATAACCTGCCAGTCTCAACTACAATGTAGTTTTCTGGACAGTTCCATAGGCCACAGCCTGAAGTCTTTGGTAAGAAGTGTGGATATGTAACACCACAGCACCATTTCCTGGATCCATCAAGCACAGTGCCCAGAGCTGTCCAGGAGACCAAGAAATGCTCTTTGGTCTCAGGTGAGCCAAGTAAACTAAAGACACAGAACATAACTAAAGAGCCAGTATGGCTCCAAGGTCCTCCCCACTGCTTTCAGGAAGTACATTTTTACATTTGGGGATAGAGGTCTACATATAATAGAGACCACATTAGAATATATTACCTAGAATGGCCACTCTATTAAAACCAAAGCCCAGACTGTAGAAAGCTGCTTCAGTAATTCTTCATCTTACTTGAAAATGTTCCCTTATTTTAGTATTACCAAAGTGTTTATCATTAAAACACTTTTGCTTGAATAGAGGCAATAAGAGTAGTATCAAAAAGAAAATACCTGGCTTTCCCTTTAAAGTATGTACTCTGTAAGTTGAGCTGACTACTTAAAACATCTTACTCTTTATACTGATGTGTGAAAAACCTACTAAAAATCCATTAGCCACATTCTGATTATCTGACAAACACTGTTCTACATCTTGATTACACTTACTGCCAGTACCGTCTGAGAGGCAGGGCATGGTTAAGGATGTGAACTTTGGAGTCCAGCTGCCTGGTCTGGCACTTCCTGGCTGCATGGTGAGCTATTTCGGAATGCCTGGGGTTCTGATCTGTGCAATGGGATAATGAAGCCTCCTCCAAAGGGTTCTTCTGAGGAGATGGTGACAGCAGGTGCTGAGCACTCAGAACCTGGTGCCTGGCATGTGCTGGGCCCTCAAACACGTCAGACTTGTTCCTGGAGTAGGGTAGCCCTCACACCAGCTGTTCTATCTGCAACACTCTTCTGCTCCAAGTAAAGGTCACCTCCTGGGAGGTCCTCCATTGCTGTGCAAACTAACCACGAGTTTCCTATGTCACTCCGTTTTCATTTTGTGTAACAGCTGTTTTCTGATACTTCTTTGAGTTACTTCTCAATTTCCTCCTACTAGAATGTAAGCTCCTTAAGGGGACCCTTGACTGGTTCTTGGATGGGCCTAACTGCCCAAAGTGCTTGTTACATGGCAGGCAGTCCGTCAATTATCTGTTGCATATAATCACTTTATGCTCCCTCACAAAGAAGGTAAAACCCTTTCCAGACAAGTATCACATCGGAAAGTATACAAAACACTCTCCTGTGCCTTGATCTAGACCCCATTAGTTGGCCATCACTCCTACCCTAGGAACACAGCACAAAGAAGGAAGGCCTCTTGCGCCAATGCCTCCGGGTCAGGGCACAGGTGGAGCTGTTCCCCCCCCCCCCCCCCCCCCCGCTTCCCCACCCCGCCACACACACAGACACACAGACACACAGACCACACAGGCCACACACCACACACCTCCTTCCAGACTCCACCAATTGGCTCTTCTCAAAGCTACATTCCAGCCTGGACGCCTCCCTCGCCTGGGCATGACCATCAAAGATTTCCACCTGGCCTTTGCACGCTCCTCCTCCACCGCAGTCACCCCACACACATCAGAACCCTTTACTCACTTATGGGGGAATCCCACCTTACAAGGAGGCGAAAAAGTCAACCTAACAAAGAACAAAGCAGTTCCAGGACAGCCAGCGTTCACCCTAATCTTTGTGTGAAGGCAGCCCTGAGCTGCCCTGGCGAGGAAGCCAGAGCGGACTTCACCCGAGAGGTGCCGGCGGCACAGCCAGCCTAGAGGGCTGATAACTTCACTGCCTCCATTGGAACAGTGAAGTTGGACACCGGGCACTCTCGAGAAGTTTAAGCGGCTCCACTCGGCCCGTTCAACAACGTCTTCATCCTCGGGATGAGTACTAAGTCCTACACATGAACGAGCCCTGCGGGCGAGCGCGGAGATGGGGTGGCAAGCGGCCGCCTTGCACATGCCCACTCCGACTCCCAGAGCTGGGCGGGCAGCAACCCGCCTCGCGAGTGCGGGTGGGAAGTGGCCAGGGCCGGCAGGCGCTCAGCCTGCCCCCTCGCGAGGCCCCCCCAGCCCCCACCCGGGGGCTCGGCCGGTGCCCTCGCTGCCCCGGCTGACCCTCCCGGGCCCCGCCGGCCCAGCCCCGCCCAGCCCACCCGCGGCCTTGACAGCCCAAAGGGAGGCGGGGGCGGCGCCGCCCGCCCAGCCCCGCACCATCAGCCCGCCTCCAGCACCTCGCAGCTCCGCTGCGGCCGAGCCGCGGTCTCCCTCACGACCGCGGGAGAAGGACGGCGGGCAAGGCGGCCGCCAGCGCTCGGCTCGGGCTTCGGGAAGCTGCACGGACACTTCCGCTCCGTCTTGCGGTGCCGCCTCCGGCCTCCAAGATGGCTGCGGGGCGGGGCCTGGAGCTCCAACCATTTCCGCTTCCGGTATCTTTGCCGCCGCCGCCGCCGTTGGAGAGAGGACCTTCCGGCGGAAGGGGCGGGCTGGCGGAAATGTACAACGCCGCACAGGCGCCGTGGCGTCCACGGGCTCCGGTGATTGTGGAGGCCCGGAACGGGCCTGGCCACGCCCCCTGGCGACCGGAGGCCAATGGCAGAGGATTTTGTGGTTGTTAGGGAAGCCTTGGCTGCAAGATGGCAGGTGCCGGCAAGGGGAGCTCGGGCTCACTCCCGCGACGCCAGGACCCGCCCAGGAGGCCACCGAAGGACGGTACGGGATGCGTGCTCTGCCGGGAGCTCAGTTGCTCTCAGAGGGAGAGGCCGGGGGCCCGCGGCCATGCCAGGGCCAGAACCCGCTTCCTGGCTCCCAGGCCGCGTCTTGCCCCTACCGCTGGGGTCGAGGCCGCGGGCTCACGGCTGGTGGTGCCTGCACCGGGCATCCCGGTAGGAGCCGAGGCCAGGCTGACCAGGGCCGGCTTGCAAAACTCCCAACCTCCAGCTCCCGGCCCGTGCCCTGGAAATGTCATGCATCTGAAAGAAGGTGACCCAAAAACCAGAGAAACGGAGCCCATGGTCCCGTCTTCCCACCCACCGCCTTCCCCAGGCTGCACCTTGCAGGCAGGGAAACTGAGGCCTGCCTGTCCATTCCCAGAACCGAGAGGTGGGAGTGGTGCCCTAGATTCGACTCGAGCCTCTTTGGATGTAAGTGTGCATTTTGTCCCGAGGGGACAGGAGGCCACTGAAGGAAGGTCCTAACAGAGTGTGCCTCCCCGGCTTCACCTGACTGGTCCTTCCTGACCTGCCCTAACCGTCTCCTTTCAGAAACTCATCCTTTTTTTTTTTTTTTTTTTTTTTGGTGGTGGGGAACTAGGAGGTGCTGAGGACCTTCATCTTGAACCACTCCGCCAGCCCTATTTTTGTGAAGGGCTTTTCCAGATAGGGTTTTGCGGAACTATTTTCCCGGGCTGGCTTCAAACCGCGATCCTCTACAAACACAAAAAACCGTAATCCTCCTGATCTCTGCCTCCTGAGTAGCTAGGATTACAGGTGTGAGCCACCAGCGCCCAGCCAGAAACTCATTCTTGAGGACCTGCACTCCTTTGGTCCTAGCCCTCTTTTTCACAGAGCCTGCCTTTTTCTGCACCAACTAGGTGCTCCTCCATGTGTCCCAGTCACAAATATAAATGAAGAAATGGATAGACCAGCAGTAAACAAGAACTCAACCCCACAGCCTTTGGGCAATTAGCCAAGGTGAAGGCCACAGACATATTGAGAGGTCCCAAGGGATCTCAGGAGCTACTGCAGAACCCCAAGCCTCCCCCACCTCTGAGTGTCTGTTGATGTTAGCGAAGTCATGATTTCAAGTGATCACTGTGTTGTCTTTTCAATATTCAGGTTATGGTGTCTACGAATACCCAAATTCTTTCTTTCGATATGAAGGAGAATGGAAAGGAGGGAAAAAACATGGTAAGGAGCCTCCGAGGTCTCTCCCAGAAGCTGCCTTCTTGCAGCTCACAGAGCCTGTTTCCTGCGCCAAGCATGACTGAGCACTACCCATGCACACCAGTGCCACCCTGCTCATGCTGATGCACACATAAGGCCAACTGTAGTTTTAGAGGTCACCGCACCCTGGTGCCACCCCAGCTGTCAGTGGCAAGACTGAGCAGGGGCAGCCAGTCTAGAGTAACATTCCCTTCCCCAGCATGGCCTGCTTTTGTAGAAAATCCAAGCGATAGAAGAAAGAATTATAAGCCCAGCAAGCAAGAATTATACCAGCAAGCACTGAATGTCTAAGGGCCTAGACTTGCCAGGATCTGTACTCACTGACTTTATTTCCATTTGTGGACTTTGCTTGCTCATTTTCCACTAGACAGTTAGCTTTTCCTATCTGTTGGCTACCAATATCATCTATATTTTTTACCTTTTAGCTTTTATTTAGAGTTTTTGCTACACAGATGCTTCTTATTTTTGTGCCAACATTGAGCAGTCTCCTTCTCTGGCAGGCATGAAGGCTCATACCTAATTCTTGCCAGAGCTGCTTGGAGAGTTGCTGCTTTTCACAATGTGTCCTGCAGACTCTGCCTCCCTGTCCTCATGTGAACAGAGGCAAAGTGATCCATGTCCCTCCAGGGAGGTTGGAGTCGAGATCTTGTCAACACTGTCCATACCTCTGTGGTTGTTCTGGCCCAGAATCAGGCAGACCACTCAGGAATGTTTCATTTGTTTTTGAGGTTTGGTTTTGTTTTTTGTTTTGAGACAGGTCTCCCCATGTTGCCCAGGCTGGGCTTGAAGTTGATATCCTCCAGCTTCAGCCTCCTGAGTAGCTGGGATTACAGGCATGTCCCACAGAAGTCTTCATTCTGAAAAAGAGGCCCAACAAGGTGTGGCCTGGTCAGCAGTCAGCCCCACTGGCCATCTGACTTCACACTGATTTCTCTTGCCAGGTCATGGGAAGTTGCTGTTTAAAGATGGAAGTTATTACGAAGGCGAGTTTGTAGATGGAGAGATCACAGGGCAAGGCTGCCGGCACTGGGCCTGGTCAGGTTAGCACTCTTCTCACAAACCCTCCAGTACAAGTTGTTCCCCTGCTTCTGGACACAGAAGGTGCTGCATAGCTTCAGGTCCCCTTAATGTGAGGGACAACAGCGTAGCAGCTGCATACAGCTGGGGTGAGGCAGCACAGGGCCCCACAGCTTAAATGCCTTTATGCCCGTGGAGAACCTGACCCAGAATGAGGGATGCCCTAGGGACCTCTGGGTAGGGTTCTGCACTCACCTCTCCAGGCAATTCCAGCTTCCTTATCATCTCAAAGTTACAGGTTCCTTTCCTTTAGAGATAACTCACCCAGGTCATGCCCTTAGATGGAAAAGCTGCTCAGTGACTTCTGTGCTGGTGGCCAGGGGCGTAACCAGGATCCTCAGGCCACATGGCAGCAGGTGGTTGGTGCTCAGTGAAGCTTTTCTCTCAGGCTCAGCTGTCAGTTGCTTTTAAAGAGCCTGAGGAGAAGGCTCATCTCATACTGAGCCCCGTAGGTGTCCAAGGGAGGGTCACCTAGGTCAGCATGCCATTCAAGCAGAGCCATGTGTCTCCCTTACTAGCCACACTAAGAAGTATGATAAAGAGACAGAGATGTCCATTGTGAAACAGCACCTGTCACCACCACTGGTGGCACAGGGGATGCAGGAAACCGCGCTGAGTCCTCCTTCTCCACACCCAGGCAACACCTACTGTGGACACTTTGTCCTAGGAGAACCTCAAGGACACGGCACCATGAAGTACAAAGCCGGGGGTCACTATGAAGGCGAGCTCTCCCATGGCCTGAGGGAAGGTCTGGCATCCCAGGGGCTCAGGGGCAGGGTGCTGTGGGGAGCTTGGGAGCCTGAGGTTCACTCGGGTGGGAACCTCCGGCCTGGCTTGTCTGACTTTAGAATTTGGAAAAGGAGGCAAGGGCTTGTGCCATCTTCTCCTCCTTGACAATGGGCGGTGCAGTTCACTATGTCAGTGCCACACCTAAGGAGCCTGCCCTGTCCACCCTATCCTGTGACACATATCACACCTCAGCTATCTGCTGCTCCCACCATGTAGAGGTTAAAACAGCTACCATTTTACTTGCTTAAGATTCTGAGCCAACAAGTGGGCCCACTGGGAAAGTTCTTCATTCTCACACAGGTGTTCCTGACATAACTTGGTCAGGCCTGACACTCCCCAAGGTCCTAGAGGTCTTAGGACTCTCACAGAGAGCATGCAGGTCTGCCTGGGGCTTTAGTCAGTCATTTCCTCAACAGCATGTTGGCCAAAGCCAGTCTAAGGCAGATTCGAGCAGTGCTTGTCCCTTAAGGTCAGCCATTGGCTGAAACCCTGGAAACCAGCCTAGTGGATTCTGATACCTCTGACCACAGAGGCAACTTTTCTTTCTCCAGGTTTGCTTGTGTTGGGGAGTAGAACTGCACTCAAGTTTCTGAATGGCCCAGAGTCCTAATGTACCAGCAGTTTAACAAGGCCACGTTCTCAGTTGTTTTTCCTTTAGGAAGACCCTTTAGGTCAGAGTGCCTTGCATGGATACCTTGGGCAGAGCATTGGTCTGCTCACTGTTAAGAACAAACATGCAAGCAGACCTTGAGTGCACCACAGTAGTGCCCACCAAATAGCAGGGCATTTTACATCTCAGATGTTGGGTCCTTCAAGGGATCCCCCTTCAGAGTCTCTGAGAGCTGAACTGGGGCACTTTTATTAGCCCTTCTAACCCAGACAGTGGCAGCCATCACTGCCCCAAATCACATCTGCCATTCCTGTCTGGGCAGTGCTGGTCAGTGCCCATGGCCTCCTAAAGCCAGCCTGGAAGGACTGCCTGGCTTCTAGAGGCATCGCTGGACCCCAGCCTTCTAAGCTCACCACCTCCTGCTCACCCCCCTGACAAGGCCAAAGAGTTATAGGCAAAATCCTTTCTGGGAGGCGAGGGAGCCTGGAGCAGGGTCATCCCCAGCAGGAGGCATAAAGCAGAGTTCATGTCTTGGTTCCTTCACCAGGACAGGGGGTTCTGGTGGACGTGGATGGACAGGTGTACCAGGGATCCTTCCATGACAACAAGAGGCATGGCCGTGGACAGATGAGATTTAAGTGAGTATGAATCTTGGAGGTAAGGACAGGCAAATGGGCACACAGCAGGAAGCAGTCCTGTCCGTAACTCCTCCTCTCTCTCTCTCTCTCTCTCTCTCTCTCTCTCTCTCTCAAGGGGCCAAACCCAGGATCATGCACTTGCTAGACATGCCCTTTGCCATTGAGCTGTACCCATCCCTCTTGTTTAAATTGATTATATATTTAATTTTTAAAAATCCCATCCCGATGGGAAGAGGGACCCCAGGGGACTATTCCCCCTCCCCCATTTGAACAAGGAGCAAGAACACCTGACCAGCAGAGCCGTCCTGCTCCAGGCAGAGGGTTAGGTGCCTTAAGCCTATGCCTATGTTCAGATTTCCCTGGCAGATTCTCGGCCAACACCAGCCCTTGAAATGGACAAAGTCACTTCTTCCATTTCTTCCCCTCTGTCATTTCCTGTTCCTGGTTGCACAAGTTGAGCTTGTCCTACACAGGGCCCAGCATGCCCTGGAAAGTGGGTCCTGCCATGGGGGTGGGCAGACATGTCCCCGCCTGTCACTGGCCCTCCCAAGCCAGCCCTGGCAAGGCAGGAGCTCACAGGCCATCTGTTCAGGACCTATTTTTGCCTTGGCCCCGGTGGTGCATGCTGAGCCCAGTCGGAGGAGCCAGTCTGAGTCACCATAGCCACCTGGCTCTGGCTGAGGGTACTGTGCTATGCCCTCAGGAACGGTGACAAGTACGAAGGCGACTGGATTCAGGACCAGCGTCAGGGACACGGGGTGCTGTGCTGTGCCGATGGCTCCACATATGAGGTATCTCAACTGCCACAACCGGGGAGGAGGTGTGAGGCCCATGGTGGGGCTGGGCTCCAGGGCATTTGAGCAAGCTTTGCCTGGCAGTGCCCTGCAGGTGATGGACATGGGCACAGCTCCTCCACATACAGCCCCCTGTACCCTGGGGTACATTTCCCTCAGGTGGGACGAGCCCTGTACCAGAAAGTCAGGTTAATAAGGAAAACCAATTTCCATCAGCATGCATGCTCTTGCACACATGGAATTCGTCACAGATGAGTGGATACCATGGCAGGGAGACAGAAGCTACATCAGTACTCCCACCAGAGAGCCACAATAAAACTGGCAAACTACTAGAAGGGGCAAAAGAAGAAATATGGAAATCACGATGCAGGGCTGGTCCTGGTGACTGGGGTGGTCTTGGTGGTCCTGGGCCTGACTGCAGGGTGAGCTCTTCCAGCAGGAAGCATGAACAGGGAACTCAAAATGTCAGGGCTTCTTGGCCACTCCAGCTGTCGCCCACCCTGGTCATGAAGCACCCAGCATCCTGTGTGACAGCAGCAACCGTGACTGCAAAGGCCATGGGGGTTCCCCAGGGCATCGCAGCTCCAACAGGAAGAAAGGACAGGTTTAGGCCTTGAGACTGGGCCTCATCCACCCTGCAGGCGCTCCTGGTGTCCTGCAGTGCAGGCTGATGCCACTGAGAAAACATCACATCTGCGCAGAGCAACCATGGTGGTTGGAGTCGAACCCTCACCAAGTTTCTTCCTCATGTGGCAGTTAGAGAACAGTTAGTAAATTGGCGCATGGAGCAGGAAGAGCCCACGCCCCCTCTGAGATTCAGACCTGGACAGCTACAGCTGCAGGGTGGGAGGAGTCTGCAGGCCCCAGGCCCAGGATAGATAAGAATCTGAAGGAAGTCCCTCTGTCCTATGGGCCCTGCAGCACCCTCTGTTGACAGACCCAGCACTGCTTCTGCTGGCCATAGAGACACATTCATGGCCTGCTGCCTGTGGCCAGACCAGGCAGGAAGGGTGGACTGAGGGCTGAGAGCACAGGACCATACTGTATTAGGAGCCAGCAGAGCAAGGGTGGGGTGCAGCTACCTTAGCCGTGCTTCGTAGGCAGTCAGATGGGACCACAGAAAGCCCCATGTGGCTGCTTTCCCTGTTTATACAACAGAGTTCTGCTTGGATAGAACTGCCAGCCAGGCCGCTCCTGCAATGGTGAAGGCAGTTGGCCATGGGCCAGTGCGCTCATTGCTCCTGGAAGAGTCTGTGTGGACACTGCTGCTGGCCTGGCGGTGCCATTGGTCTACACCTGAACCAGTCTGTCCATCTGCACATTTTGCTGTGACTAGGCACAGGCCTACCCTTCCCGTTAGAGACGGGGTGTGTCCATCCTCATGGGATCCACTTTTTTTTTCTTGCAGTACTGGGATTTGAACTCAGGGACTACACGTTGAGCCACTCCACCAGCCCTTTTTTGTGATGGATTTTTTTGAGATAGGGTCTCGCAAACTATATATTTGCCTGGCCTGACTTCTAATCTCCTTATCTCTGCCTCCTGAATAGCTAGGATTACAGGTGTGAGCCACCAGTGCCTGGACAAAGAGAGATCTGGAAGGATTTGCCTCCTTCCTCACCTGTCCCCCTCCCCAATACTCGGGGATTGCCCCAGGACCATGACCACACCTCACAAAGCTGCTTTTTAATGTATAAGGCCAGAGCTACCAGGTTTTGGTGTTTGGCTTCACTTCCTATGTACCGTCATTGTTCTAAGTCCCTCTTGTGTATTGACTCGTAACTTCACCATACTTATCTGAGGAAGAGGCTCTGCAAAGCCTGGGAAACTGAGGCTCAGATATGCTCTCCCAAACCAGGAAGTGGCAGAGCAGCCCTTGGTCTCAGCGTCTGGCCTAGTCCACTCACCTGACTCTTGATTGTCCTGAGATTTTGGGAAGGCTTTGCCCCACTGTGTTCCTCCAGGGTCCAGCCCACTGCCTAGGAACAGTGCCCCCTTGTGGCCAGGAAGAACCCCTAACAACCTTGGGTTAGGGAAGACACACCCACCCTTGCCCCAGCCCTGCCGCTACAGGTGGATCTGTCCCAGGAGTCCCCTGGCAACTGCCACAGCTTCACTTCTGGCCATAGCTGCCCACTGGCCCCAGTGGATGGGGCTCTGTTGGGTCCTGCGCAGGCCTACTCCTTTTGAAGCCTGAAAATTGTGGCACAGCCAAGAGGGGACACCCCGGACTAGGGCTAACACAGCATCTTCACCTCCTGGGCCCAGGCATCTCCACCAGGGGGCAGCCCAGCTCTGCATACGGTCACTGTGCCCAGCCTTGGGCCCTCAGTCAGAGTTTGGACTAGACTCCAGACTCCAGCCTGTGCAGGCAGGGGAAATGAGTGCTGGCCTTCACATGCTTGAGGCACCCAGCTGAGACACTGGGCATGATCTACTGGGACCTTTCAGATCAGCCTGCTTTTTCTCTGGGGCTGGAGTCTTGAATTCCACAACACATTCCACAAAGGCTTTATACCCTGTGTGACCTGTATGTCATGTTGGTTAGTGGTTTCCACCCCCAGAGACTGGGAAAGGTTCACACCCTTGCTCAACCTCTCAGGACATGTCTGCAAACCAACTTCCACAGTCCTGTGGCCTGGCATGCCATCTGGACACAGCACCCTGTTACTGACCAGCTGGGGCAGGAGCCCTGGACAGTGTTTGCGGAACAGGAGAGGACAGGCCCCCAGCCTTGGTCTATATCATGTTGGCCTTTGGCTGAGACATTCAGACTGCATCAAGAACTGACAGCATGTACTGAAGTAGCCACAGTCAGGGACTCGGAGTGACCCAAGGACCCGCATCTGGACACACACAGGTCCCTCCAGGCACCTTTTACCTTTAACAGTGGCCTCAGTGAGGTTGAATGAAAGCACCCCTTTTCTGGACCACGGGGACAGGCTGAGGCTCTGGACCATCTCGGGTACAGGACTCAGACACTGCCAACACCCATGACCGCCAGCCCAAGACTGCCAGCCCTTGCTTCTGGGGCAGCAAGAGGTTTCGCACAGCCATTTGTGCAAGAAAAAATAATGTCAAATCTGTCACTTGGCCCTCACTATTGGGAGAGGCAGAGATCTCAAGAGCTGCTCACTGGGTCTTCTGATGACTGTCTCTTCACTTGGCCGTCTGAGGCATGGGGACGCCTCTTTCTCAGATTGGTAAGGAGAGGCATCAGCCAGGAAAGGCACAGGCAGCCAGGAGGGGAGAGGACTTGTCTATCACTCGGGTATCACTCTTCCTTATGTTATCAGTTAAACATTTAGTCCACATAGTTGTGTAACCTTCACTGCTGTTCCATCTACAGCACTTTCTCATGTCCCCAACCTCTAGGAACCCATATTCTCCTTTCTCAGGAAATCTGATTCCTCTAGGGACCTCATACAAGTGGAACCCTAGAGGACTTTCCTTTTGTGACTAGTTTATTTCACCAAGCATCATGTCCCCATCCACATTGCAGCGTATGTTAGAATTTCCTTCCTTTTTAAGGCTGAGTGCTATTCCATTGTATGTACGTACCACATTTTCTTTGTCCATTCATCTGTCATTGGGCACTTGGGTTTCTTCCACCTCTTGGCTGTGGTAAATAACACTGCTATGAACATGAGTGTGCAAATTCCTCTTAGAGAGCCTGTTTTCAGTCTTTGAGTATAGACCCAGAAGTGGAATGGGTACATCAGAATAATTGGCTTTTTTATTGAGGTGGGGGCTCACTTTTTGCCTGGACTGGCCTTAAACTGCGTTCCTCCTAAGCTTTTTCCACAGCAGCTGCACCATGTCAAGTCTCCAGCAGTGGTGCAGAAGGGTTCCAATCTCTGCACATCCCTGCTCACACTTACCTCTGGTACTTGTAAAGTTGCCTAATGAGTGTGAGCCCACTAGCAACAGACAGCTGAGGCGAGCCATGCCCCCATCCTCATGCTATAACTACATGGAGGTGGCTTTACCCTCTTCGCCTGATGCTTCTGCAGTGGCTCTCACGTTCCATCTCTGCTGGCTGGGCCACCAGCATGTATATCAAATACCCTCTCACACAGAGGCCTGTCTGGTTTTTGTTTTGTTTTGTTTCATTTCCTTTTGTTTGTGGGACTGGGGTTTGAACTCATGGTTTTGCACTTGCAAAGTAGGCACACTACTGCTTGAGCCACACCTCTGAGGCTTGCTTATTAACACGTTCACTACAAGGCTGTGTGGAAGTCCTCACACAGGCACACCTTGATTTTGACTTTCAGGCGCTCAGGCCATGGGCAGGTGCTCAGCCCTTCTTCAACACTGTCTCCAAGAAGCCCCCAGAGCCACCAGCATTTTCCTTTCACTTACTTCAGGAGCAGTTTTGTATTCTGGAAAGACTGGAGGGTAGCAAATCCTTTCTTAGTGTTCCTGTCTGGTCTCAGCCTTTTATTCCCATCAGAGTTTGGCCCCAGCCACCACTTACATCAGCCAGATTTCCCAACTTGTAGAAAAAATCCAGACCCAGACCATGAGAAGTTCCAGGAGAAATCTGTGAGTGCTCAGCTGGCAGAGACCCCCCCCCCACGGTACACATTTTTTGTGTCAGGACAACTGGCATGAAGACTTGGTGATACCCAGAGCACAGGGCAGCCCCTTGGGTGCAACACCATTGGGTGTGCTTAGTAGGAGCCCAGAGTCATACACTGAGGAGGTCATCAGGGGAGTGGAGGCCCCTGCTTGTCATTTAATGAGGCAGAGTGTTGGTCTGTCCATGAGAGTATCTCTCTGTGTCAGCTGTGGTGTGTGCCTGCCTGTAGCTGCTGGTTTCCAGTACTTCCCAGGGCAGAGACTCCACACACGTTGGTCGCTTTCCCTATGTTGACTTTCCCAAAGGAAGGCCCTCTGTTTGACACACCTGCTTACACATGGAGCAGGTGACTGGCCTTATGGGTGCCTTCTCCTGCCACAGTCTCCAGACTCCCCTCTTCTTACCTGGCATATGCAGAAATGCCAGTCCAGAGAGACCGAGGGTCCTGAGTATCATGGGGCAAATGGAAACATGACCCTGACACCATCCCCCATATCCTGTGCCCACCGTCCTCAGGCCAGGAGGTTCTAGTCCAGGAAAGAGGCCAGTGACCCCAGAGTTGTATCTAAGGCAGATGATCCAAAAAAAGAGCTTGGGACATTGGAGCCTCTGCGCCCAGGCATGACCATTCAGGGAACCCAGACGCCTGTCCATGTTGACCTTCCTGCCTCACTGGAGCCACCATGGGAGCTGTTAGGCCTGCACTGGTGCCAGGCTCAACATCCCTGCAGAGTCCAGGCATTGATGATGTAGAGGCAGCAAATCTCATAGGAATGATAACCAGACCAGGTCAAGTGCAACACCCCACGGCCCCTGTTAGTTGGAAAGAGAGGTGCCAGCACCCTGAGGAGCCGGCCCCAGACAGGCCGTTCCTGCAAGCCAGAAATCTCAGCCCCTACAGTCATAAGGCCCCAGGAGGAGGGGCCAGCTGGCTTCTCACATGTGCCATCACCCAAGGGGTCTGTGAGTCCCTGACCCCAGCAAGAGGCCTCACCTGCTTTAAGTCCAAGGCTTGACAGTGGTTAGGGACAGTTCATCCAGACAATAACCATTGAGGCTATGCTGTGGGAAGGTCTAGAGCCCTATTGCTCACCTTGGTGCCCTTCCTGGTATGGTTAGACAGACCCTGGCACCCCAGGGAGGGTCAAGGTAGGGAAGAGCGTAAAGATGTGGACTCCTGACCAGGATGGACCACACCTGAAAAGGAAGGGATGTGGGCTCCAGAGAGTCACATAATGAAAGTGTAGGAAGGAAAAGAGCCGCCAGTAGCTAGGGAGTGCTTCAAACAAAAAGCAATAGAGTGTGATCGGGGCTGGTGGAGTGGCTCAAGTGGTAGAGCACCTGCCTAGCAAGCATGAGGCCCTGAGTTCAAACTCTAGCACTGCCAAAACAAAAAAACAAAAAGCAACGGGAGTGCTTCACTTCCTGAGTGAGAAAGGATTCACATCCTTGTTTCTCACAGTTCATTAAACTCAGTCTGCTCACACTTGAGAGAGTGTGGTCTGCAGCGACAGCAGCACATGGCAGTGACAAGGCTGAGCTCTGTCCTGCTGGCTCTGTAGTGACTGAGGACCCACTGCTTTTCACTCTCATCCCGTGCACCTGTTTCCTGATGTTGGATCCCTGTTTGCTTCAGTCTTGCTTTGTTTTGGGTGCAAGTGTGGGACCATGTGGCCCTTCCCTTGCTGACTGTCATAGTCACCACTCTCATGTCTCTACACACACACACACCTGTCCTCATCTTTGTGCTAGGCAACATCCCAGCAGGACAGCAGGTAGTGCCAGCCCTGGTGACTTGTGTCAGCAGCATGGTGCTGGTCCTGGCCTTTCTGTGGCTATGACTTCCACAGGCCGGACCTGCCATGGGCATTGCCCTGGATCATGCCATGTCTGGGTGGTCCCTGGCCTCCCTGACACCCAAGGAGCCAGAAGGCCAGGCAGGATATGGCAGCTTCAGGGATTTTGGCTCTCAAGTCCTGTCTGGCTCTTGCCCAGCTGCCACCTCAGTCTGCTTCAAGGTGACCATGGGGCCACCGTGCAAGGGTGTCATCCTCGGGTGTTAAGACACAACTAATATGTGTTTGTTCCTCATTTAGGTTCACATCAACTAACTGAGAAATGGCAAGATATTCAGATGTAGCATTTATGATATCAATCAGATAGGATTACCCTTGCACACATTTGTACCAACCAAGTCCTGTCCTGAAGCCATGAGCACCAGTCCCAGAACTGTCGTATGGACTCAGCTGGCAAGCTGGCCACCTCAGTGGCTGTGGTAAACGCTGTGGATGGTGCACTGTCAGCCACAGGGAGCCGATGCCAGGCAGTGTAGTGGCTGAGAAGCTCCCAGCACAGACTAGCACCACAGCTCTTTACCCACCTCTGCTGGGGCCATCCGCCCTCTGCAGCAGTGCTGTGTGTGTTACAGTGCCAGAGCCTGGGGTGTCCTTCCCAGCCACATCCCCCTGTAACACCCACCCCACCCTGCAGACAGGCCACCTTGCCCAGACCTGCAGAGTTTCCGCCTCTGTTTTCTCCCCATGAAAGCCCAAGATGGCGCTTTCTGGAGGCCAGAGCTGGTGCAATAGGCAAAGAGATGAAAGATCAGTGTTCCCATACGTTACTGGAACTTGGCTTCTGACTGGGACACTTTCTTAGAGTCCTTCAGCCTCAAGCTGACACAGTGTTTATCACAAGCTATGCATACACTGTGTCACCCTGGGGAGAACTGGAACCAGAGGAAGGAGATTAGAGACAGCAGTCCCAGGAAGGAGATGGGAAGGTCACTAGAGAGAAGCCACAGGACTGTGGTCTCGCTTGGTGGCAAGTATAGAGTCAGATGGCGGAGAAAGCCAGGCCAGGTGAGGTCCCTTATACAGGCAGGGGCACCTTTGGCCTCCAAGCAAAACTCCTGAGGCCACACTGTACAGGTTGGGCAGACTGTGAACTCCAGAGCTGCTCCTGGATCTGAACCTCATATCCCTCTTACCTAACCCCACACACTGACTCTGGGGCCTCATGTCCACATCTGCACAGATGAGACGACTGTTACCGTCTGTGCGTGTGGTGGCCTGTGCAGAGCAAGGAGCAGGCATGGTGACTTGTCTTATCTGAGGACTGTGGGTCTGGGGGTCCAGGGATGGTATGACGTCAGCCAAACAGTCAACCCTGGCTCTTCCAGGAACACAGCCATGTGTGGCCCTTGGGCTGTACAAATTCCCCAGGGTCTGGGTGCTAGAGGGACAAGGCCACTCTGAGGACTCTTGGGGACTCCCTCAGCAATGAGTTGGTGACTCCCAAGAGGAAGGCCCCATCCAGATCCCAGAGGGGCTTGGGTCAGAGTAGGCAGCTACATGCTCCACAACTGGCACCAGCCTCTCCTGAGCTGACAGGCACCCCTGAGGCTGCCACTTGTCTGGGGATGATAGCTTAAGGTGTAAGCTGTGTGGCCCATTGGCTGTGGTCTACCTCCCCTCTGGCATGCCTTGGCCTGAGGGTCCTCTCTAGACTCTTCTGTTAATGGAATCTAGCTTCCCCGAGGTGACTGTGTTCCCAGAACCTATGGAAAGCTCTCTTTCTCAGGTTTTGGGGTGTCTGAACCCTCCAGGACTGCAGCTGTCTCCAGGTCTGTGTGCCCATTCCCTCATTCTGTTGCCGTTCCTCAGACCCTGGCCCTCAGCTGCCCTCCCTCAGTGATCATGGGGCACAGGATGCATGCAGATGGCTCAGCCACCACAGTGCTGGGAGTCCCTAGGGAGCGGGGCAGAGAGGCCAGAGCCCAGTTAACTTCAGCAGAAGAGCAAAGCTCCTGGAGCCACACTGTACAGGTTGGGCAGCCTATGAGCTCCAGAGCTGCCTTTGGCCAATTTCCCCTCAGAGAAGTAATTCAAAGTCAGATAAAAGACTGTTCCAATCCTGAAATTTCCCACAGAAGTAATCCTCCTATTCCCTTATTGTCCTATTCTGTATGTGTGTGATTTGGAAATGGAGGTGTGTGGTGGAGGAGGCAGAGCGGGGCATGTAGTGAGCATCGCTCCCCTCCCCTGCCCCACCCCCGCCCAGGGTTCGTGTGTTCATGTTCAGACGTGTTTTGATTGGCCTCTTCTTAGAAGTGTGGGGCTACAGGACAACCTCACCTTGGTCCTGAACCATTGTAGTTGGCAGATTCAGGTCTCTTTATGATGGGACCCACAGATGCCATGTCTTTGTGTTAGAGGGTTCTTGTGCTAAACTTGAGCCTGTGTGAGCAGTGTCTTGTTTGTGTGGTGCATTCTGAGCCTTTGTTCCTGCACTGCCTGGCATCGTTACAATTCAAAGGGGGGAATACTTAGCAAAGCAAATTGGATCCTCCTAGCAAAAAATGTTTGTTTTCCCCCAAATCAGGACCACAGGTTTCCTAGCAGCCATTGGTCCTGGGGCACATTGGAGCCACCCTCTGAAGCTACCCTGTCCTCTCTACAGGGACAATGGCACAGTGACGTCTTCAGTGGCCTGGGCAGCTTGACCCACTGCTCAGGAGTCACCTACTGTGGGATGTGGATCAATGGTCACCCAGCAGGTAGGAATATCCCACCTTGGCCTTGGGAGGTTCACTGTGGGGTTTCATCTGGGCTGGCCTTGTCTCTCAGATGGTCCTGGGAAGCCAGGTTAGAGGTGTTGGACCATGACCACATTGGGCAGGGCTGGGCTGGAATGGATCTAAAACACAGTTCCCTTTTTGAAAAAGCATATTCTAGTTTGATTTCAAAAAGGCTTGTGGACATGCAGACCTTAGACCCAAGTGGTCTTGCTGCAAACAGGACCTCCCAGCCTTTTGCCCTCCAGCCACAGGCACCTCCCAGTCACAGGACCACCCAGCCACAGCCCCTCCTAGCCCCAGGACCCCAGCCATAGGGGCTTAAGTATCTGAGGTACCTGGTCATGCCGTGCTGCTCCACTCCAAGTGCCCTCCATCTGGCTACCCTAAGATCCCTATACCCTGACGTGACCACAAGGTGGCCTGTGGCCCACAGAAATGCTGGCCAGGTGGGTCTGTGCTGGGGAACACCTCCCCGGGCACTCCTTACTTCCTGTGTTGCCCCTGGTGGCATCTGAGTGGCCTCTCCTTAGGTTTACAATAGGAGCGCTGTCCCAGGCGTGGGCCTGGCCAGGGATATAAGTCACTTGTCTGAACCTTGGTGCCCGGTCCCGATGGATGTACAGATACTCTTTTGAGCCAACTCTGGATGTGCCCCACAGGTACTGGGAGGCCTCAGCCAGACAACCTTGCGCACGACCACCTGGGTTCATGTGTTCACGTTTGCACTGTCACACGCACATTCTCCCTGGGGTCTCCTCTGACTGGAGGGGAGAGGTTTGAACTGTCCCAGCCACTGAAGCCCTGCTCTATCCTTTCCTAGCACAAGCCAGCAGGATTGTGGTTCTGGGTCCGGAGGTGCTGGAAGTGGTCCAGGGCTCTTCCTTCACTTTGAACATTCAGCTGCAACAGGACAATGGGAGAGTTGCCAAGAGTAAGTGTCTCTAGGGTGGCAACCCAACTTTTCCAAAAGACAAGCAGGCATCAGGCTCTTAAGCAGAGAAAGCTCAGACAAGATGCCTTGGTGACGCCTGGAGTGACTTTGTGCATAAGTCCCTGTTGCCTAGAGTCTGGCAAAAGGGTCAGGAGGCATGTAAGCCCTTCAGCTGGTGGGGGCAGCACACATGTGTGAGTGTGTAAACATGTATGTGCAGTGCATCTTTGGCACATGCAAGCTCTCACTTGAGCTAATGTGTCTCTCAGAGTGTGGAAGATGGAAAAGATACTGTCAGCTTGGATGAGCAAGGCCATGACTCAGCCGAGCTGAGGGCAATTTCTCATCATTTCATTATCTCCTCTGGGTAACCAAGGAAGAACAGATTTCCAGATGTCTTTTTAGGTTATGGAGCCTCCTGCCATGGCAAGGGATGAATTCCTGAATTCCCAGAGCTCTTCCCACCATGCCCACAATTCTCAAGACACATGAGCTCACCTTAGTTCAACATTCTTGAGTAAGGAAGCCATGGTGTATAGCACACGTCAAACACATTAAGTTGCATTGTTTTATTTTAACAACTTTACTGAGGTATTATTTACTACAAAATGAATAAGCTTGCAAGTGTGGGCATCCACCGCCATGCCTCAATTCCTTTTCAGAAAGCTTCCAAGAAATTTCTTTCTCTAGGAAGATCACTCGTTCCACGTATGGCCCTGTCCTCAGCCCCTGGCAGCTGCTAATTGAGTCTCTGACTATGTAGATCTACCTTTTCTGGACATTGATACAAGTGAAATCACACCATGTTGGGATTTTGCTGGCCTCTCTCACTGGCATAATGTTTTGTGAGCTCAGCCACACTACAGCGTGTATTTGTGCCCTTTCATTCTTGTTGAGCAATCCGTCCTACAGATGTTGGCCGCATCTGTTCACCTGTCTATCAGCTGATGGACATTGGAGTTGTTTGTACCTTGAGCTGTTACAAGTAATGTTATTGTGAACTGTGCAAGTTTTAGTGTAAACACATGCTTTCGTTTCTTCTTGGTACATTGCTACGCGCAAAGTTGCTGGATAACACGGTTGGCGTATTGTTAAACTTTTAAAGAAGCTGCCAACTGTTTTCCAAAATGGTGACACCCTTTCACACCCCACCAGCCTCATGTGTGGGTTCTCCACCTCCTCACAGGCACTCGAGGCTCTCTGTGTAGCAGTAGCCCTCTTGTGAGTGAAGTGGCAGCTCCCTATGGAGTTTCTTTGTTTGTGTTGGTTCTAGGAAGTGAACTCAGAGCCTTGTTCTTGCTAGGCAAGAGCTCTACCACTTGGCCACACCCAAGTCCTTTTCTTTTTAGTTCGTTTTTCAGCTAGGGTTTCTCTGCTTCTGCCCGGGCTGCTTCTGACTAGCTGGGATCATGGACGTTTTGCATTTCCCTAAAGACTAATGTAATGGTGTTGGGCACTTTGCATGTGCTTGTCGGTCACTTAAATGGGACTTTAGAGAAATGTTTATCCAAATATTTTACCTATCTTTAAAAAAATTGGACTATTTATCTTCTTATTTTTCAGTTGCAAGAGTTCTTTTTGACCAGATGCCAGTGGCCCATGCCTGTAATCCTTGCTACTTGGGAGACTGAGATCGGGAGGATTGCAGTTCAAGGCCAGTCAGGAGAAATAATTTGAGGGACCCCCCCTTCTCCAAAATAACCAGAGCAAAATGGACTGGAGGTGTGGCTTGAGTGATAGAGCACCTGCTTTGCAAGTGTAAAGCCTTGAATTCAAAACCCAGGCCCACCAAAAAAAAAGAGTTCTGTGTGTGCTCTGGATACAAGTCCTTTATCAGATTGTATTTTATTTTTTGGGCAAATGTTGCAGTATGTAGCTTCTTTTCACTATTCGTTTAATTTAATTCACTTTTTTTGGTAGGCTGGGATTTGAACTCAGGACTTTGCACTTGAAAGCAGGCACTCTACCACTTGAGCCACACCTCCAATCCATTTTTGGCCCAGTTATTTTGGAGATGGAGTCTTGTATTTGCCAGGGCTGGCCTGGAACCTCGATCTTCCAACTGGGATTACAGGCTTGGGCCACGAGCGCCAATTTCTCACTATCTTAATACTGCTGTTTTCACAGCGGAGGTTTCCATTTTGATAAAGCCCAACTTGCCAACGTCTACTACTTCTCCTCCTCCTCCTCCTCCTTCTTCTTGTAGTAAAAATGATCATGAAGTTTATCAGGAAAGGAATATACTCTCCTGGACTGAAAGCAGGTCATCTCTAGAAAGAGAACAAGAATGACACAACTCTTTCTTTTATGGATCATAGTTTGGGTCCTGTCTCTAGAATTCTCTGCCTAACTCAAGTTCACAAACACTTCCTCCTTTTTGCTTCTAGAAGTATTGCAGTTTTAGCTTTTACATTTACTCCTGTGATCCATTTTTAGCTGAATTTTGTGAGTGAGAGTCTGAATCCATTTTCCAACACTGAAACCAAACTGGGCTACATAGTGAGACCCTCTGAGAGAAAGAGAGAGAACGGGGAGAGAAGAGACTGTCCTGTGTCCCCACTGAATTGCCTTGGCACTTTGGTCAGAGATCAGATAAGCCTAAGTTTTCTGTTCCAACGATCTATGGGTCTATCCTTATAGGGAAAATCCTGTCTGTCATACCACACCATCTTTATTATCCTAGCTTTTAATATACTTTGAAATTGAAGAGACCTCCAACCTTGTTCTTTTTCAAAATTTTTTGAGTCTTCTCAGACCTTCCCATTTCTGTATAAATTTTAGGACTGGTTTGGCAAAAAGCTTTCTGGGATTTTATTGGGGATCGTAGCAAATCCCATGGGGATGGTCATCTTCAGTACCTAGTCCTTCAGTTCATGGACAGGAAAGACTTCTCCATTTAGCTAGAGTTCTACTTTCTCTCACCAGTGTTCCTTACTTTCCATGTACAAGTCTTCTCACACCTCTTGTTAAATCTATTCATTAACATTAATAAGTTAGTATTTATTACTAGATATTTGGTTATAATAATTTTATTAATATATTGTTAATTACTGGTGAATTTATTGTATTCTTTTTGTACTATTATAACTGGAATTTTCTTCATTTCCAAATTGCTAGACTGCAATTGACTTTTTTTTTTTTTTGTGGTACTGGGGTTTGAACCCAGGACCTTCACCTTAAGCCATCCACCAGCCCTTTTTTGCGATGGGTTTTTCGAGATAAGGTCTTGAGAACTGTTTGCCCAGGCTGGCTTCGAATCGAGGTCCTCATGCTTTCTGCCTCCTGAGTAGCTGGGATGACAGCCATGAGCCACGGCATCTGGCAGCAATTGACGTTTATGTATTGGTCTCATCTTCTTCACTTGGCCAAGTCATTTCTTGGTTCTGATCGCTTTTCCTAGGATTGCTTAGTACTTCCTGTTTACATGGGGTCATGTCTGCAAATAAGTAGACCTGTGTCCTCCTCCCTTCTAGTGTGAGTGCGCTGTCTTTCCCTCGGCGGCTCTATTCCACGTTCACATGAGCAACAAGTGAGTTCCAGTTGCTCCACAGCTCTCTGTGGAGACAGCTGCTCTTCAAGAGCAAAGACGGTCTTTCGTGGCTCTGGTGTGCATATCTCCCTGACAGTCAGTAACATTGAACATCCTTTCAGGTGCTGCTCACTATCTGTGTGTCTTCTGTAGAGATAAATCTGTTCAGATCCTCCGACTATTTTTAAAATCAAGTTACCTAATCTTTTTATGATGAGTCATTAAGAGTTCTTTAAATATTCTAGACTCTGCTCTGATTTGCAAAATTTTTTTGCATTTTGTAGGCTGTCTTGCAGTTTCATCTTCTTTTTTTCTTTTTTTGTGGTGCTAGGCGTTGAACCCAGGGCCTAAAGATCTACCACTTGAGTTATGCCTCCAGACCTTTGCTTTTATTGGCTTTTTGCAACCATGTCTTCCTAACTTTGCCTGGGCTCACCTTGAGCTCAAGATCCTACTGCCCCTGGCTCCCAAATAGCTGAGATTACAGGTGTGGCTTCTGCTCTTGGCTCTTGTGGTTTCCCGATGGCATCCATTAGAACACAACAAGCATCCTTGCTGATGAAGCCCAATTTACCCAAAGCCCAGAAGCACCAACAGGAAGGCACTTTTGTTGTCATAGTTACAAGGACTTTGCCTAATCCAGGGCTAAGAAGCTTCACTCGTATGTTTTCTTTTAAGAATTGTATAGTTTTAGCTCTTATATTTACAACTACTATCCATGTGGATCATAATTCAAATGTAGAGTAAGGAGGGATCCAACTACAGTGTTCTGCATGTGAACACCCAGATGTCCCAACAGCATTTGTAAAAACAAAAAAACCTGTTTTAGCCAGGTGTGATGGCTCACACCTATAATCCTAGCTACTTGGAAGGCAGAGAGGGGAGGTCAGCTGGGGCAAAAAGTTTGTGAGCTATCACCTCAACCAGTGGCTGGACACAGTGGTGCACGCCTGTCATCCCAGCTACACAGTGAGGCTCACATAGGAGGCTCCTGGCCCAGGCTGGCCTGGCTATAAAGCAAGACCATGTCTCAAAAATAACCAGTGCAAAAAGGGCTGCCACAGAGGTACAAGTGATAGAACACCTGCCTAGCAATCGCAAGACCCTGAGTTCAAACCCCAGGGCCACTACCAAAAAAAAAAAAAATTTCCCCAATGAATTATCTTGGCATTTGATTTGCTAAATTTCGTTTAGAATTTTTTCTTCTCTGTTCATGAAGAATATTGTTCTGTTTGTTTGCTTTTGTTGTTTTGTTTTGTTGAAACAGAGTCTCACTTTGTGGCCCCTGAGCTCACAGTCCTGCTTCTGCCTCCCGAGTGTGGGGTTACAGGTGTGCCACCTTGCTTGCACATTTCCTTTGCTTATAACGTCTCTGTCTGGACTTGTTATCAGGGCAACACTTACCTCATAGAGAGAGGTGGAGAGAATTTGCACATCAATTTTCTGGGAGAGTTTGTGCTGAATTAATGCCAGTTTTTCTTTTCTTTTTCCTTTTTTTGGGCAGCACTGGGATTTGAACTCAGAGCCTCGCACTCGCTAGGCAGGTGCTTTAGCCACTCCACCAGTGCAGTGTGATTTCTTTTTAAAGTGTTGGGCAGAATTCAGCTCAAAGCCCACCTGGGCCTGGAGTGTTCCTAATGGGAAGACTGCTATCTACCGAGTCCATTTTTTTTTCAATTGTTTTTTCTTTGCAGTACTTGGGCTTGAACTCAGGGCCTTCACCTTGAGCCATTCCACCAGCCCTATTTTTGTGAAGGGTTTTTCGAGATAGGGTCTTGTGAACTATTTGCCCAGGTTGGCTTTGAACCTCGGTCCTCCTGAGCTCTGCCTCTTGAGTAGCTAGGATTACAGGTGTGAGCCACCAGCGCCTGGCTGAGTCCATTTCTTGACAGAAATGGACTGGGTTATCAGGTTATGTCTCTCTTAAGGGAGATTTGGCATTTATATCTTTCAAGGAATTTTTATCCATTTCATCTAAGTGGTTGAATTTTTTGGCCTGAGCTTTAATAGTCCCCTGCTCTCCCTTTCTCACTCTGGATGTGTGGTATTGGTGTTCTGTCTTTTTCCTGATTGCTCTGATTAAAGTTTACCAGTTCCTTTGAGTTTCATTGATTTCTGTTTTATTTTTCTGTTTTCTACTAATTTTTCGTTTGACCTTACTTTTTCCTTGCTTCTGCTTCCTTTAGATTGAATTTGTTCTCCTTCCCTAGCTTCTGAATTTGTTCATGGTTATTCTCGTCAGACCTTTCTGTCTGAACATGAAGTTGCCTGCTCCGAGTTTCCCTCTGAGCCCTGCTGCAGCTGCACTCTGCATCTTCATCTTCAGTCACTCCAAAGCGCTTTTGACTCCCTGTTGATTTCTTTTCTGCTCATGAGTCACTTAGAATGCTGCTTCATTTCCAAACATTTGAAGGTTGTCTAGAAATCTCTGTTACTGAATTCTAACTTCATTCCATGTGATTGGATAGTTTGTGTGCACTGAGTCCTTGGGAAGTTATCGAGTCTCATTTCGTGGTCTGTTGTGTAGCTGTTCTGCATGCACTTGCGATGAATGTAAATTCAGCTGCTGGGTGGAATACTCTGTGAACCAGACCCAGGCTGTTGCTACAGATGGAGCATCCCTAATCCGAAAATCTGAAATCTGAAACTTTTCAGAGTTTTGCATTTCAGAGCACTTTTTTTTTTTTTATTTTGGTGGGACTGGGGATTGAACTCAGAGCTTTACACTTGCAAAACAGGCACTCTACTCCTTGAGCCACACCTCCAGTCCACTTTGCTCTGGTTATTTTGGACATGGGGTCTTGTGAACTATTTGTCCTGGCTGGTCTTAAATCCTGATCCTCCCAAGTAGCTAAGGCTACAGGCAAGCCACCAGTGTCTAGCTAACATTTGTGGCTTTATGTCACCTAATCAATTGACCCTTGTCATTGTGCAATACCTTCCTTATTCCTGGTAATGGTCTTTCTCTGACATCTACTTCCTGTGGTACTAACAAGGAGGCGTGGCCACCAGGGCTGGGCTGCTCTGGTTGTTTTTGGAAATGGAGGTGTTTCAAACTATTTGCCAGGACTGGCCTCAAACTGCCATCCTCCAGATCTTAGCCTCCCAAGTAGCAAGGATTGCAGGCGTGAGCCACTGCCGCCCAGGCTTCCTTTCCTTTTTGATAGACATTTCTTCCAGATACAGTACACTAGCTTATCAGTGTTTTGGAGGGTTGCCCCACTGTCTGCCTGCTTGCATTGTCTGATGAGAAGCTGTTGTCCTGGAGGACAGACCCTGCTGAGGTCTGTACAAACATGTCCTTTTACGTTGGCTGTTTTCAGGAGTTTCTCTTTGTCATTGGTTTGAGCAGCGTGGTCACAATGAGCCCTGGATCATTTTCTTTGGGGTTCATTGAGCTTCTTGCATTTGGGGGGTCTTCAGATTTGGAAATTTTCAGCCATTATTTCTCCCAGTAGTTTTCTGTCATTGCTTCTCCACGATGATCCACATTGGATTGCTTGAACTTGTCCCACGGTTTGCTGACTGTCTCTCCCACCCTTCTTTTTCTTTCTTTCTTTCCTTTTTCTCTCGGTGTGTCATTTCCCATGATTTCCACAGCTGTATTTTCAAGTTCACAAGTATTTTTCTTCTACAGCAATTTTTGTTTGTTTCGATCTGGGTTTTTGTTTATTTGTTTGTTCTGGCTTTCTGAGGCAAGGGCATGCTAAGTAGCCCAGGCTGGCCTCATGTTCCTCCTGCCTCAGGCTCCCACGTGCTAGAATTACAGCATGCACCACCACGCCCAGCTTCTCTGCAGCATTTAATCTGTTCTGCTTCAGTCGCATCAAGGATCTTTTCATCTCATGCATTGTAGTTTTTGTCTCTAGAGATTTGACTTTGTTCTTTTTTATATCTTCTGGGTCTCTTCTTCCCTGATGAGCACACACAACACAGTTATAATTTTCCCAGTGTTCTTGGCTACTTAATTCTAGCACCTGGGTCAGTTTTGGGTCATTTACTTTTCTCCTCATTATGGGCCATACTTTCCTGCATTCTCTGCATGCCTGTTACTCTTTTATTGAATGCCAGACATTGTAAATTTCACCTTGTTGGATGCTGTATTCCCAAAGATATTCTTAAGTCTCTTGGAGACAGTTTCATCCTTTTAGTTCTGCTGTTATGAGTTATTAGCTGGGTCTGGGGAAAAGCTCTATCTATGACCAATTATTCCCCTTCAGGCCCTCTTAGAACTGACTTGTGAGTCTTCCCAACTGGGCCGGTGAGGACATGAAACCTGTGGCCCTGTGAGCCCCAGCCCCTGTCCCCTCCAATTCTTCCAGGTGGCTCTTGCCCTGATCTCATGGAGTCTCCTCGAATGCATGTACTAACCTGTGCTCTGCTGAGCCTCAAGGCCCTGCCCAGCTCCAGGCTCTCTTTCTCTTCTTCTCCTCTGTCCTTTGACTCTAAAGCTCCCTGTTGCCCATATTCTCAGTTCTTTTCATCAACTGAAGCTGTTGGCTGGGCGGCCACTGGGATCTGAGCTCACCCTCTGAACTGCTGCCTCAACTGGAATCCTACCCAGGGCCTGCCACTTTGTCTAAGTTACCCTAAGTTTCAGAAACCCGGTTGTTCCCCAATTCCTCTGTGAGTCTCGAGGCTCATGCCAGAAGCACCTAGGAGCTTGGAACCATAACCCGCCCTTGCATTGTGGGTATAGCAATTCTGTCTCTACCCTGGCACCCACGCTGTTTCCCATGTGCTCCCCAGCACTCCTCTCTGTTGGGTCCTAAGATGAGGCCAGATGTCCGGCCCTACCGGCTCTGCCTGCCTTAGCAAGGCCCAGTGGATCTCCATGCTCAGAGGGACAGTAGTGTCCACTCCTCAGGCCCTATCCTCTAGAGCTGCTTGCAGCCTGAGGTTTCTCAGAACCAGGGACAATAGGCTGGAGCCACAGGCCCTGAGACATGTGGGCACCAATTGTGGGCCAGGCCCGCTATTGGTCTGGGGCTTAGATGAGTGAGATTGAGCCCGTCCCCCAGGGTCAAGGTAGTAGAGAGGAGGGGAGAGTAGTTACGTCTGCCCAGGTTGATGAAGACTGCATCGTACGTAGGCCTTGCCATAGGTGCACACTCCCTTCCCCATGCCACTGACCATCGCAGGCAGCGCTATCAGGTGTGGTGAACCCATGAGATGGTCATCAAGGAAAGGCCCTCCCAGAGGGTACAGGTGACTGGCCAATGCAAGATGGACCAAGGCGACCTTGAGTCCAGAGCTGGAGATTCAGGGTCAAGGTTTGAGGAGGGACATATAGAGGTACCAGGTAACAGAGAAGGCCTCAGGGATCCCAGGGCCAGGAGACTGCTGCAAGGGCACAGACCTGGGGAAGGCAAGCAGTATCCCTCCAAGTGACCAGCCAAAATTAGGTGTGGTCACATTGAATTATGAATAGGATAGCACAGGCACCCCACCCTGAGCCCTAGGTCCAGGGCGGGGTTCAGGTGCCATTCTGCACGCAATCAGTGGGGCTTGTTTCTGGATTTCTCTCTTCCTGGAAGGCGAGAGTGGCCGAGCCCTGAAGATCTCAGGGGGTGTCAGATATGTGCAACTCTCAGCCTTCTCTAAGGTCAGCTTTTTCAAGATGGACAAAGACCACCAAGAGACGCCCATCCAGACCCCACTGTGAGTACAGGAGATGCTTCTCCAGGGCTGGGGGAGGCAGAGGTCTCTCCTCAACTGTGAGGAGGAATGGGCTGGAGGGGGAGCCCCCACCACCACCCCCTACCCACCAGGACTGATGCAGGACTGGGGACTCAGAGCTAACCAGCCAGACTCGAGAAGGTGGAGATACAAGCACTGACAGACCCTGAGCCACAGAGAGGGCAAGGGCAGGCAGACAGAGTGACAGGGAGAGGAGGGCTGGCTGAAGTGATGGGCCTGGTGGTCCCCTGGGGAAGGGGGCAGGCTGGACTGACTGTGACTGCTCCTTACCTTTGGGCCTCAATTAGTCCCAACCCTGCAGGCATCTCAGGATACACACACAGCTCCCCAAGAGTGACTGAGCAGTGCTCCCTGGACACCTTACTTAGGCCAAGTCCCAGGGTTAGAGCCCAGGATACCATCCCCGGCTTGGGCAACCTCAGCCCTGACTCCTCCCTGTTCTAGTCCCTGGCCCCGCCCCTCCCCAACCCTGGCCCCGCCTCAGCCCTGACTCCTCCCTACTCTGACCCCTTGGCCCAACCCCCAGTCCTAATTGTAGTTGTCTCCTCCCCAGTGGCTTCCAGTGCATCTCCTATCCTCTGTGCACTGCTTTATCCTGGGGGCTGGAGCCCAGGGTACTCACAGAGAGCACCGGGGCCATCTCACCACTCTCCATGGGAGACTTGGAGCCAGTGCTAGATTCAGGAGCCGCCGGTGGCCCAGAGGACACCCCCAGTTTCCTGCCTGGTGAGTGGAATTAATAAAGCAGCTGGTGATAGGCAGCACCAGCAGTGTGCAGGATGCCCCCCCAGAACCTGGGCAGGAGAGAGACAGAGCTGTTCCTGAGAACCAGGCACAGTGGATCTGGGAAAGAGCAGGAGCCCAGGCCTGGTAGGCCTCTGCATGTCAACGAGGCTCATTCCCAGAGCTAACGGGCAGATGGGACTGCCCATACTCGGCGGCCTAGTGGCCACATCCAGACCCTGCAAAGCGAACAGCCATGGGTGACAAACAGTTGGGGCCAGCCAAGTTTGTATGACATGAACTTGGGGGTACAGTTTGGCTTCTTGGTTCCAGTGAGCAGGGCAGGGGTGCAATGTTCGGCGGGGCCTTCTCAGGCTGTTTCCAGGCCTGTCCAGCGAGGGCTGAGCCTGGGGGTGGCAAAGTGCAGAAAGGCCATGAGGCCTGTAGTCAATAGGACAGGACACCTGATGGCTCCTGTCACTGTGCCCCACCCAGGCCACCCTGGGTTCTGAAGGGAGCTCATGGCCCTGTCTAGCACTCATGCTGCCTGGCTTTCCAGCTGGTTCCATCCCTGCATGTTTGACCCCCGGTTCTTCAGACCTCTGTCCCACTCTGCAGAGTGGAGCCCCTGGTAACCTCCGTCTCTCCAGTGACTCATGAAAGTGGGTAAGAAGCTGGGAGTGGAACAAAGGCTCATCACTCTCCTTCACTGACATCGATATCATAGCCTCCCATAACTCAGTACGTTGTAAATACTGACTTACATCTTGGGGAGGCAAGGAAGCAGCCTTGTTGGGTGTGGGTATGTGGGGGTTTTTTTGGGGAGGGCAGGTACTGGGGTTTGAACTCAGGGCCTACAACTCGAGCCACTCCATCAGCCCTTTTTTGTGAAGGGTTTTTTCAAGATACGGTTTTGTGAACTATCTGCCCAGGCTGGCTTCAAACCGCGATCCTCCTGATCTCTGCCTCCCGAGTAGCTGGTTACAGGTGTGAGCCATCAGTGCCTGGCTTGGAACCGGGTTTGGACTCGGGGCTTCACGCTTGCAAAGCAGGTGCTCTATCACTTGGGTCACACTTCCAGCCCATTTTGCTCTGGTTATTTTGGATATGGGGGTGTTTTTGAACTATTTGCCTGGGCTGGCCTCAAACCATGATCCTCCCAATCTCAGATTCCCAAGTAGCTAGGATTACACCTGTGAGCCACCCTTGCTCGACTGGGCATGTGCATTAATGGAGGCTTCTGATCCAAGCTGAGTTCTGAAGGCCAGGAAGGCAGGGCAGATATCCCTGGGACCCAAGTGGTCACACATGGCTTCTCATATCCTTGCCATGGCCTTTTAACCCTGATCCTTCTGGACTCTGACCAGAATGAGAATCTCAATAAACAGAGTGGGGTCCCCTCCCTAGGCAAATTCACCTACCTGTGTTTGGGGGCCTTTGTCATGCTGTCTGGCCTGGACTGACAGCTAAGGTCCCTGGACCCCACAGTGGGATTGCACCACAGATTACAGGTCATAGAGCAAGGCAGCTGAAGTTCCTGACCTTGTTCTCAACCCCATCCCACCTGCCTCTGGGCTCCACTGTGCCTGGTTATGGAACTGGGTCCTGATACGGTCCCTCCTCCTGTCCTCCACATGCAGCACCAGGGCCCCCTTATTAGCCTCCCCTCCACAGGAGATGCAGGGTGGCAACCCTTCTCTGATAAGTAAGAATTTGTCCAAATAACAGCAAAAGACAGCAGATTGCTTTTCACCCAGAACACGAGCCCGACCTGCACAGGGAAGGAAGGACAGGCCTCAGGCCTCAGTTCTTTCCTTGTGAGGAAGGCCCCAGGGGCCACTGGATCCGTGTTCCTGCTGGGAACCCAAGTTGGTCAGGTCTGGGGAGCTGCAACTCCAGGAGAGCAGGGGGTGGGGCCTGGCCCAGATCCCCCTTTGTTTGCCTGCACCTCACTAATAGAAGCAATTTCACGCTGCATCGGTGGAATGGTTCTCATATTTCTGCATAAAACTCATTGGATGCTATGCTTTCCACTTGGAGAGATTTTCAGAGCCAAGTACCAAGGTCTCGATGGAAACCAGGCTCCGGAATGTGGGGCTCCCTCAAGGCCCGCCCACTAATTTGTGCCTGCCCTGCCTCCCGCATGGGGCTGCTCCTCCATGAGGCTCAGCCTCTGGTCCTTGTCATGTTGACATTTGAGCCTGTGTGCGACAGACTGGGGCTCCCGAGTGCCCAGATTCATTCCAGGACCCCTCAAGGTGCACATCCACTGCAGGATTTGCAGACAAGTCCCCTGGGGAAAGCTGCACAAGCATCGTCTGTTTCCAGAAGACCCGCACAGCTCCACCTGACATCTGGGTCTGGCTCTGGCCCTCATGGAGTCTAGGTTCCCTGTTGGTGCCTAGCCGGGCATACGTGAACCCAGCTGCTCTCCCCCACTATTTCTAGCTGAATGCTCCTTGCCTCAGTTTCCTCTTCTGTAAAATGAGGCTAGCAGCCTCCACCTCTCAGGATTTGCTGAGGAATGCTGACACCCCCTGCCCACCCTGCCCCAGGCCTGAGCAGGGGCAGGCTGGAATCAAGGCTCTCTCCCCAGTTAAATCCAAATCAAGCCAAAGAGGAGGCTTTGGGCTCACAGAGGGCTCATTGGCCTGTTTCACTTTTCTTAAAACTGAGTATTTCTCTCATGGGAAAGGGTTGGTCAGGCAGAATTCACTCTCCCCCTCCACAAGACTCTGTCCACAGCTGTCCCTTGGGACAGGCACCTTTGTTTTGCCTGTCTCTCTGTTGAGGTTGGTGGGATGGAGGGCTCAGAAGGGTCCCCTGGGCAGGTGGTTCCAAGGCCTCAGGTCCCATAGGAGCTGAGCTGCTGAGCCACATGGACTCTGAGGGCCACAGTCCCTCCCATGGGTAGCACCAGCTCCCACCATCCTCCTCAGAGTCCTTCACCTCCCTCCCAGGTGCACACACCTCAGAAACACTTCCAGCTTAAGTGCCTCTCCAATGCCCAGATCCCCGGCGGGAAAGTGCAGGACCAGGCCTGTGGGGCAGTAAGCCAGGAAGGCACCTCACTCGTTCAGGAACTGCCTGATCCCTTTTCTTCAGTCTTTACCTTCTTTTCTTCACATAACCCCATGGGCAGATTTTTGGGTTACCGCTTTCACATCATGACCTAAGTGCACTGGCTTTCAAATGCACTTTCCCTTCCATTCCTTTCTCCTGCTGAGTCTGACTCCCCAGTGTTAAGGAGAGGCCTGTCCATCCCCCGCCTGCCCGGCATTGGCAGGGTGCTGACAGGGGTCCCACTCAGCACCTCCAGCTCCCCACCTGTGCCATTTGGATGAGGAGGGGACACTCCACCCACATGTCTGTCCTCGCAGGCATTCTGCAAAGAGTCAGTGAAGTCATTGCAAAAATTCAGCTCTGTCCTGGGGAGGACAGCACCCACCAAAAGGGAGAGCAAGTTCTGAATGGACACACTTCAGCCAAGAGCAGTGGCCTGGAGATGACTGAGCCTGTGTCAGGGACCCAGCTAAGCCTTCTGCAGTGTCCCAGGCAGCTTCTGGAGCCCCTCCCTCGGCCAGGCAGGTAGGAGGTAGCTGGGGAGGCTGAGCCCTCATGGCTCCATCCAGGTGGAAGGGAGCAATATGGCAGGGCCACCAAGGGCACAGGTACCCAGTCATGCCAGAGACCCAGTACCAGCAACACCCTGAAGACAGCCAGTGGGGAGGAGGGGACAGTACAGCAGGTTTAGTTTCCTGTTATCCTGAAAGAAATCAACGTGTGGAATTCTGAAGCACTCCCTACACTCAGGGAAAATAAACCAGGGTCCCGCCCCACCAGCCTGAACTTTTGTACTCTCAAAAAACCACACAGAAACCCTGTCCCTCCTGTGCTTGTCCCCAGCATGGTCACTGGTTCCACGTCTCCCCCGTTAGCCAGACCTTCACCAAGGGCCTTCAAGTCCTTGTTAAGCCCTGTGGTTTTAAATGCTGAGAGCGAGAGGCACAGGGGCAGCTGTGCTGGTTCCAGCCTCGAGCACCTGCCTCTGCCTATCCAGGAAAGGGCCGAGTGCCTCTGGAGCCTGGACAGGAGGTGCTTACCACGCACATTTGAATGTTTTGGGAAATGGCCACTCATCTCACCAGCTACCAGACAGGATTTGCCACCCAGACAGGTCACTCAACAGCAGGACAGCTTCGGATTGAAAGATAATTTAACCTAAGGCCTGATACGAACGAGACCAGAACCTCTATGGAGCTCGGCACTCCTGGATAGGGGAATCTAAAAGATGTGCAGGAGCTTTGCATGCGGGGTCCCTGCACCCCAGGCACCAAGCAGAGTGGAGACTAATGGCTCTCATCCCACTCCAACAGAGACAGGAGACAGGTGTGGTGCAGGTCTGACTTTAGTGCCTGCTAAATCTGGCATCACCTAGGTAGGCTATGTGCTTAGGATGAGGTATGGCTGCTTTTAACAAACAACACAATAATGGCTTCAACTCTATTGATGTTTGCTTCTCTCTCATATACAAGCCCAGATAGAGAGATGAGGTACCTCCCCAATCACTGGGGACTCCTGTTCCTCATCTTGTTCTATTTCATCTTCATGTACCATCTTACAGCCCTAGATGGCTGCACAAGTTCCAGCCATCAAGCCCCTATTCCATCTGGCAGGAAGGAGGAAACATAAGGGACAGAACTCAAGTATACAGCTACACGGAGATAAGAAATACAATATACAGACAAATATAATGATCTGTTATCAGAAAAGAAGTGAAGAATGGGCACTGGCCACTTCACCAAAATAGAAATTCCCTATCAAGTCACACCTCTTGGCCCCTGCTGTTGTAGACAGATGTTGGAGGGTCTCCAGCCGCCCTAAGGATGTACCTGGGGAGTCAAGGCTGCGCCCCCACGCTGCACCTGTGCCAAAATTGCTCCCTGTGTGACCCGCGCATGGCCCACGACTCCAGCTTCTAGGATGGAAGGACCATGGAGCCATGAT